ATGCATCACTGAATTCTCAACCTTATTAAAGTAGGAAGTGAATCTGAAATGATAGAGGAAGATCAGGAAAAAGCAGAGGTTATGGCTGACTATTTTGGGGCAGTTTTCACTCAGGAACCTCCTCTAGAGAAAGAACCAGACCCAAATACAGAGTCAACAAACCAGCTGCTCACCGTGGACTTCGACCAAAACGATGTGCTTAAGGCTCTTAGCACCCTAAACATGGAGAATTCAACAGGACCAGACAAACTACACCCTAAAATCTTGAGACATATTGCCCAATATATCGCAGCCCCACTGACTGTGATATTCAAAATGTCACTTGACCAAGGTGTGTTACCTATGGACTGGAACGACGCAATCGTCACTCCCATACATAAAACAGGTCTACGACAAGTTCCGTCGAATTACAGACCCGTAAGCCTCACCAGTGTTGTAATTAAAATACTGGAAAGAATAATCAAACGGACCATAATGGCATTTATGGAAACCAATAACTTGCTGAACATGGCACAACATGGTTTTAGAAAGGGTCTATCCTGTACAACGAACCTCCTTTTAGCTAGGGAGTTCTGGATTAATGCGCTAGACAACGGAAACTCAGTGGGTGTTGTCTACATAGATTTCTGTAAGGCTTTTGACAAGGTGCCAACTAATAGACTGCTATTGAAGTTGGCAAACCTTGGTATTGCCGGACCTCTTTCCTAGTAGGTCGTACGCAAAAAGTAAGAATAAATTCTAAGTGCTCCATCTGGAGACCAGTACTTAGTGGAGTACCTCAAGGTTACGTCCTAGGTCCTTTACTTTTTATAATGTACGTTAATGATCTTACAAGTATAGTACAGTCTCCAATGTTATTATACGCTGACAATGTAAAAATTTCGCGAGTAATAACTGGAGACAAAGACGCATTTACTCTTCAGACAGACTTAAATAATATGATAAACTGGTCTAAAGAGTGGCTGATGCCTATGAACTCGGAAAAGTGTGTCTACATGCACTTGGGGGATTCAAAGGTTAATACGTACAACATAGGGGATGTGTCATTACCCGTAGTCCGGTCTCATAAGTATCTAGGGGTGACAGTGAGTAATGATCATAAGACGACGGCCCATTGCCGTGAGGTCGCAGTTAAGGGGTTTCGAAACATCTGGGCTTTAAAACAGACATTCACTAAGTTAGACACTACCATGTTCACCACAGTATACACATCCTTAGTGAGAACTAAGTTAGAGAACTGCGTTCAGGCTGCAAGCCCCTGTTTAAAAGGTGACTCAGACATACTAGAACAATTACAGAGGGCAACTACGTGTGCAATTCCGAAACTCCGGGGTATATCATATAAAGAGCGGCTTGGAAAGCTGGACCTCTTTACTCTGTCCTATATTAGATTAAGGGGAGATCTAATTTTGATGTACAGAATACTGAGAAATGATTTTTGACTTAACTTATCCTATTTTTCTTCCCGCTAGATCAGGACATCTCAGAGGACATAGCAGGCGAGTAGAAAAGCGAAGATCGAACAAAATACCCGTGGCATACAGGTTTTCACACTAAGTCATCAATACTTGGAACCTGCTGCCTGAAGCATTGGTGTCCGCACCTTCAATTGACTCTTTCAAGAGAAGACTGGACACTCACAGAAGCATAGTAGAAAAGGAATAACATAGGCCGTAGGCCTTCTGTCCTTACTACACAAATCTGAATCTGATGCATATTGGTCATTAACATAGTTACATACATTGTAAATAACATCGAGTTACCTGTCTTCCAAACACAGTGACCCAGAAGTCATCGTTATCCAATATTTGAAAACTACTGCACACTGCCGTGCGATAGCCGCTCAAGTTTTCGGACCCCTATTTTAATACTTAGAGCTTTTAGTCGTATCGATTCTAAGATTTTTTTGACTTCCTAGACAGCGTTCCTTCGCCCCAGACTCGGGTATTTCATACAAGCAACCAGCTCCTGAATAAAAAGACGAGTTGTTGGAGAAGGTTCAGAGGACGGCAACTAAGTTGGTCCTTGAAATCGAAATGCTGCTGTATGACGAAAGACTGAATAAAATTTCCTTGTCGTGTAGAAAAAGTGATAAATTTTCATCTGACATAACCTCATTTTTCTCGTCTTCCAAAACAATTTACGAGGACATCCTAAAAAGGTTCACAAGCTCAGGACAAAATTTCTGTTAGCTGATTATCGACTTTCTCATCGAATTATCAACGAGTAGAATTCATTAACTCGTTGCGTAATCGAAGCTTCATATGTCGACCCATTCAAAGGAGTGTTGGATTAACTGAGAGATCACAGTTACCATTACTAATATAGGTCACCCAGTTTTCCGTCCCATCCAAACCGAAACTGATGTGTTAAAGCAGCACTTCATCAGCGTCCCAATGATGAAATTGATGGTCTTACTGAGGAACTGTTGCTCATCAACTGTGTTGTTAATAATTTGACTCCGAAAAAAGTTTTGATTCCTTCTAATGATGAATGCATCATTAAGAACTTAAGTTTTGGGTTGGCCTTAGGATTATGATATAAAATATAGGATTTATAATCAAAGTTTGTATTCGAAGTTATGGTATATAGTTAAAGTATAGGGTTTGGATTCTGTTTCACATCCTAGTCCTTAACCATAATCGTGGCCTTGATATTATAAATCCTTCATTTTTATATTCTGCTCTTAGGTTGACTGTATGGGCTCAGAACCTGTCAAAATCATTTAAAGGGTCTCTCATGCTTGCCCTTATAGTTCAGTTGTATTTTGTGGTGGAGTGATAGACGGGAACAGATATATTTAACAAGCCGTACTATCGACAGATATGTAGTGGTTAGCTGCTCATGGTCAGCTTATTCACTTTAACTCCGGGTTATATTGCTAATACAGTATTTAAATTCAAAGCTAAGTGGTTAAGTCATCTACATCAAACGCCAACACTGCAAGGTCCTGGTATGACGTTTTTTGTTGAAACCACTCAATGGTTTTTGGGTCACTGTAGCAAAAAGACTTAATTCTCTTCCGTCGGTTTATCATTTCATCTATTGACTCCGAAAAAAGTTTTGATTCCTTCTAATGATGAATGCATCATTAAGAACTTACATCCATCGACGTCTTGGACGATGGGCAGAATTTTTCGAAGGGCAGTTCAACTGGCCTGCTGCTCCGGCAACATCGGTCAGACTGTCCTGCCCTCCATGGCCGGTGACGACTGATCCACCAAATGAGGAGGAAGTCCGCAAGGAACTCCAACTCTTGAAGCGCTACAAATCACCTGGCCCAGATGACTTACCTCCGGCTCTTTTTAAAGATGGTGGTGACTTTTTGACTAAGGAATTGACGACGTTGTTCACAAAGGTTTGGGAACTAGAGAGTGTGCCAACGTCATGGAATGAGTCGATAGTTGTCCCTATCTTTAAAAAGGGTTCACGTCGTTCCTGTAACAACTACCGGGGGATAAGTTTACTTCCGATTGCGTCCAAGCTATTGGCTTCCGTCATTCTTCGTAGGTTGTTCAAAACACGAGAAAGATTGACTCGCGAGGAACAGGCTGGGTTTCGTTCTGGTCGAGGATGTATTGATCATATCTTCACCCTCCGCCAAATCTTAGAACACCGTCATACTTATCAAAGGCCAACAATCGTATTGCTTCTTGACATCAGAGCTGCCTTCGATTCGTTGGACAGGACTGTTTTCTGGGATTATCTATTGAAGAAGGGTGTGCCTGAGAAGTTTATTAACATCCTAAAAGCCCTGTATAAAAACACCTCAGGCAGAGTGAGGGCATACAACCACCTCTCTCCATTGTCCCATTCAAGCAGTGGGGTTAGACAGAATTGACCAATCTCAACATTCCTCTTCAACTTTGCCATCGATGACATTCTGGAAACAGCTCTGATGAATGTAAGTAATGGTGTGGATCTGTTGCCTGGAGAAAGACTTCTCGACCTTGAGTATGCGGACGATATTGTCTTACTGTGCGATAATGCCCAAGGCATGCAATCCGCACTTAATCAGTTGGCAATCAATGTCCGTAGGTATGGTATGTGCTTTGCACCTTCGAAGTGCAAAGTATTTCTACAAGACTGGCAGGATTCTAATCCTGTACTCACCCTGGACGGTGAGCAGATAGACGTAGTTGAGAAGTTCGTGTATCTGGGTAGCTGCATAAGTGCTGGTGGGGGTGTGAGTGATGAGATCAATGCACGAATAGTGAAAGCCAGAGCGGCTTATGCCAATCTGGGCCACCTTTGGCGCCTTCGTGATGTTAGTCTGGCTGTAAAAGGCCGGATCTACAACGCGTCGGTGAGAGCAGTTTTGCTCTATGCTTGTGAAACCTGGCCTCTCCGAGTTGAGGACGTTAGACGACTCTCTGTGTTCGATCATCGCTGTCTCCGAAGGATTGCTGACATTCAGTGGCAACACCATGTCAGTAATGCAGAGGTTCGGCATCGTGTGTTCGGGCACAGAGATGATAACTCAATTGGTGTCACCATCTTGAAACACCGACTTCGGTGGCTTGGACATGTTCTCCGAATGTCGTCCCAGAGAATTCCACGTCGTGCATTATTTGCCGACTCTGGGACTGGTTGGAAGAAGCGGAGAGGTGGTCAGTGCATGACATGGTGTCGTGGCATGAAAGAAAGCTGCAAAGGACTGGCTTGTGTTGGTCCTTCACGACTCCCTGGCTGGGGTCCGAGAGATGGTGCTACACAGTGGCTAGAGACGTTATCAGATATGGCTCAGAATAGAAGCCAGTGGCGATCCTGCTGTAACCTTCTTTTACTTTCTTCATAAAAGGTGGTTGTGTCTCCTTTACCTGAAAGATTTCTTCTGATTGTACCTCTTCGTCATTACTCTCTTTTTCTTTTGCGTTCCTTAGTTTTTTTTCTTTCTACTTCTCTTCGAATTCCCATTGTTTTGTGTGGCGCATTTATATTGGCGCTCTCTTGTACCAATATTTATGTGTTCAAATAAATAAAATAAATAAATTAGCTACATGCATAATAGTAAAACACTTGTAACCTATTCACCAATTCCTCTCTTTCAGGTGATCTTTCATCATTCTCAACCAGTTATCTTGTTCAGTTGTGCATACTACCCAAGCGCCGTTTCGGCGCATGTTTTTTGTGCCAAATTTTGCTTTCAGTTCACGGTAAGATAGCATTTTAAAAGATAATCTTACTAAGGCTGTTTTTACTCCATATGTTTGGGCAGTCATGTTACTTTAGCTCACTTCGCCAGCTTCCCGTTATTGCTATTTGTGGAGCCACTGGGACTGGGAAATCGAAACTAGCAGTAAGCCTCGCCAATGTTTTCGGAGGTGAGGTCGTCAATTTCGATGCTCTCCAATTGTATAGTGGGATAGATATTGCAACAAACAAAGTGAGTTATAGCTTTGTTAGATTTTCTTCATTTTGAATTTCAGGGAGTCACTGATAATATCGTGGTGTAAGTCTTGTGCCTTGAAGAATTTTCCTGCTTTAGTAGTGATTCAGTGGGGCAGTATTATTTCCAGTCATGTGTACTGTCAGAGAGATGGGGTTATCATGCAGAATAACTGATGTAATTATTTAGTGACTTTGTGTTGGAAATTTTAATTCAGTAGTTAAATTCATGATCTATTCATGTGATTCCCCTGTTGATCAGTGGAATAGTTTTTAATTTGAATACATTAAAAGTGTGTATAAAATCAGTGTAAATCACTCAACAGTTTCAGCATTGTGTCTTTGAATTAATTCTTATATTTGAATTCTACCTCACTGACGTGGTTCGAACTTCTGAGTCATGTCTTTCACCATCAAACAAGAAGCGGGGCTCTACCTGCAGTAAATAATCATACAATTCGTTATTAAGCTTACGAGTTACAGAATTAACATTCGTATAATGTAGGTATGTAGCAGTGACCACTTCGTACGTAATCAATTACTAGTTTCTTTGCTAACAGAAATGTCGTATGAAGCTTTTTTGTCTTAGATACCTAAGTCTCTAGGTTCCTACTACTGTGCCAAGACCAGTTTCATATGTGCAACTTGAAACAAAAGTATGGCTGTATTCAGTTATCGATATACAATATAGGTTTGATATATTCACCGTTTACTAGCATTCATTGACTGAAAGGGTTCGCGGTAAATCAAGTAAGGAAACGTAACCAACTAAATCATCGCTTTATTCGGGATTATGGACTCATTTTCAGACACGCTTTTTAAAAAATTTATATTAATCAAACATCTAGTTAGAGTTGAACATTTTATTTGTTTCCAAAGACCAAATCTGATATCAGTGGATGTAATATCTAATTATTTTCATTTACTTATTTCAATACAAACATTGGTGCAAGGGGGCACCGAATACATATGCGCCACAAAATAACCATGAGGTTGTGAAGACATAAAGGATGTAAAGTGCGTATAATAAAAAAGAAGAACAATGAACAGGAATTAACACGAATGCAATAGTAATGATAGTAATGGGAGAAACAGTTTAGTTAGAAAAATATAACCCAGAAAAATTCTTTCAGTTAAAGAAGTTACGTTCACTTTCGTGGAGAAAGTACGAAAAATCATAGCAGGATCTCTACTGGCTTCTATGTCATGTCTGATAACGTCTCTAGCCACTGAGTTGTACCATTTCTAGGACCACAACCAGAGAGTCGTGAAGGACCAACAGAATCCAGTCCTGTCCGGCTTTCTCCCATACCACGGCACCATGTCATACACTGACTACCTCTCCGCTTTTTCCAACCTGTCCCAGCGTCGGCAAGTAATGCGAAATATGGAATTCGCCGGAACGACATTTGTAGGTCATGTTCAAACCATCGAAGTCGATGTTTCAAGATGGTGACACCAACTGAATTATCGTCGCTCTGTCAGAACGTTACCGGACCTCTGTATTACTAACGTAGTCTTGCGACTGGATGTTAGCAATCCTCCGGAGACAACGATGACCAGACTCAGAGAGGTACTTAACATCCTCAACTTGGAGAAGCCAGGTATCAAAAGCATGGAGCAAAACTGCTTTCATCCAATACACATTTCGATCCAAAATTTATTTTCATTCTTTGGAAAATTAAATTTTTTTTGACAGGCCGTTTATAAGAACAAAGCTATTTAATTAGTGCTCTTTTTTGATTTTCATTCTAGATATCACATGTCGAGTGTTTAGGTGTCCCACACCATCTTATAGGAATCTATCCTCCAGAATTCGGACATAGATATGATGTTCATTCATATCGAGACATCTGTTTACCGCTGATTGAAAATATAAGAAATATCAGGAAAAAGTTACCTATTCTTGTTGGTGGGACTCATTATTATTTGGAAGCTATTTTATGGCAAGATTTTCTAGCTTCGAAACGTACTATTTTCGATGCAACAAGTGAATTCGATAGGTATCTTAATCTGTTAATTACACTGGTAATTATATTCGTCAATTTCAAATTTAGCATATATTCTTCATTACTGGATATCCTTGGTTTTTATCTATTTTTAGACAGTGCATTTTTGAAAATGATAAGACATTTAGGATTATAATGTACAAATTTGGATAGTGTAATATGAAGACGAAGATTATCTGAACTATGTGATATATTAGCGCAACACATTCCGAACAGTCTGAGCACATGTATACTAGTTAAGAGCATTCTTCTTACATTTCATTTGTCTAGTTGACCTTTTTTGCATATAAATGCTTTTAACAAGTATGGGTGTTATCACATTGTTCGAAATGTATTGCGCTGATATATCACATAGTTCTGATAATCTAAATTTATCATGGGACTAGTTGAAAATTGATAGTTTGAGGCATTCGTAAGTATTTTTCGTTCTACAATCCTTTCATTTACCTCATAAAATTCAATGTAAGCAGATAGTGACTAATGCTATAGTGTACTTCCTAACTCCAACTAAAACTTGCATTCGGATTGTACACTATAGTCACCAAGCAAAATGATTTGATGTGGCGATTGGTTGTTTTGTATCGGGAGTTAAGAGGAGTTAGCTTCACTTAAATCGTTCATGGGACTAGTAAATGGTTGTTAACATCTTTAACCAAAGGAATAAAATGTTAGGGTTCGAACTCTTAAAGTAACATTTTCTTTTGGAATTAGAGAGTCATCCCTTTAAATGCCCTGTTACGGTCAAGGGTAGGGAGAGTCTGCACCCCTCTCAAAATGCTCTAACATGGCCACGTGTATACAGACACTGACAAGGAAGTCCTACTCACTGTCTTCTCGTCGCAGGGGTGTTGTTTACGAAATTGAGAGGACGAAAAGCGAATGTCCGGTACTTTAACCGGGTTGGTGGATATGAAGGATCGATGTACGGGAGTTGAAAAACCCTGATTCCGAACCGATCGTGAACATGGGCTCCAGGATCCTGAGGGAGCAAATGATGTGTGAACCTATTGTTGATCACGAGCTACCACGTGACTGCATCTCCTTACGTTACTCCACTGCTTTGTGGATCAAACCTTTAGATCGAAGTCTCCGGGTGTGGTCCCCTAAGAGAACCACCTGCTTCGGTTTGGGCAATCGGGCAGTATTCCAGCCCACACACAAATCGAATGATGAAGTTTGGCGCATATATATTGTGTGCCTTTTTGTACCGATGTTTATGTGTTTAAATAAATAACAGGTTCTTTTTGAATTAAAAAATCATATAAATAAATATATGGAGTCCTGATTTAGCGTTTATTTCCTGTTGCTTTTAATCATTTACTAGATAAAGGTCTCACTTTAATGAGAGTTTTGTGTTGTTAAAATAAATTAATGGAATTCCGAACAATAGACGAACATGATGATACGTTGTGGGTAATTGATAACTGCTAATGAGACTGATTGCTTTAAGTTTTGGTTGAACAGATAACTGAGGAGAATATAGCTATCCAGCAGAATACATATCTTAGTAAAATGACCTGCTTATATTCAGATATTAACAGAAGAATAAACATGAATAAATATCTTTAGGGATTGAAGAAAATCAATTCTTTTATGTCACTTACTGTTCTATGATTTCAGATTTTCCCATCATACCTGACATGTAGTTCGTAACCATCCTTAGAGAGGTTCGCACTCAGTGTATGCTATTTCATCATGTTTTGTCACATGGTATTTAAATGTTAAGTCTAATTCACTGTTGAATGTAAATAGAGAAACAAAAGTATAATCCTTTTAATTGAATGCCACGTTATCCAGTTATTACGTTCAAGCAATGAAAACTGGGCAGATGGACAGTCTTAGCACAACTGTGAATTAATACAACTTCGTAATGAAACTCATTAACCGAGTTCAGATTCATGTAATCTGCTCAAAATTGCATATTTTGTGTGACATCTTGAACTAAAGTAACCGGAGTTAGGTTCAAACCTGAAATCCAATGATCAAAAGTGAAAGGTTTTACCTACCAAACTACGGTGTTGCTACATTCACAGTTGTATAATTAAAGAAAATCAACCAGAAAAAAATGAAAGAGGTTAAAACAATATTATCAGCATTATTGGAAAAAATCTGAAGGAATGGATAGAGTCAATCATAATGATAATGGTACATTTAAAGGCTTAGATGGTAATGAATAAAGGCGTTTGGTGCAGTTCGATGTTTTTTAAATCGTATTATTAAGTCTCCTTTTTTGAATCATGAGTTCAAGTCCATTCCTCAGATTTCGTTTTATGAAGAGATAGATCCTAGTCCCGACGATGGGTGGATTTTGTTTTCACATTAAGGTTTAGTTAGTTATTCTTAATCATTTGTTTTTGTTTGTTGTAAATGTATGTGTAAAATGGCATCATTGTTCATTTTTTGTCAGTTTCTTACTTGAATAAGCTTTTCTGAAATCACATGGTTTAAATATTCATTTGTGTAATGCCACAGTATATTATGCTTTTGAATGAGCAATCGCAATAGCGCCTTCATTATTTTCTAATGTTAACTGTAACTCAGTGGATAGGATCATCTAATTGTTTGCTCAAATACTATTTATTATTTTGAAAGTTAGTGTTTTGTAATTGTCTGAACTATAGAATAAATTATATTTTATCCTTTTCGTATTTTCAATGTTTCAGTGAAGTTTCTTTTGGGCATCCATTAGAATGCTATGATCTTTTGCGTACTCTGAAACCAGATGTAGCCGCACAATTGCATCCGAATAATGTGCGTAAAGTAAAGAAAGCACTTCTCGATGTTCTGAAAGGATCTATTCAGACTAAAACACAAACTGAATTGAATGAAAATATAGAAAATGTAGATTTGGGAAAACAAGTGTTAAATCGATCTATTAAACCTCGATATCCTGGAGAGTCGCTCATATTATGGCTGGACTGTGCTTCCGATGTTTTGAATACTCAGTTGAATAAGCGGGTGAATAGAATGTTGGATTCTGGGTTAGTTGATGAATTGGACACTTTTCTTGACAAGGTGAATGTTTTGCCAGATAGATTCAGTGAGACTGAAACATCTGATACGCCAGGTAAGAAAAAGTCTTTTGGACATATGTTTTTATATTTGACTGCTAATGGTATGGATTATCCCGCTGCTGATATTTTGTTTGAAATTTGATCAATCTTAGTTGGCATATGTGAATTATGTGCAGATTGTCTCGATATAGCCAATATGACACAAATTTATCTAGGATATTCAAAAATAAAGAATATTTGAGTGAACAATTGTTTTCAAGAACTTGATCATCAGGCTCTGTAGTTGTAAATCCATAATTATAATATTGAATAAAGCCATTAATAATAATAATATTTTACAAGGGCCAAAGTAAGTCAAGGCATCCATTAATGAATTTGAAAATGTTATGTTAAAAATGGTGAACGTTTTCATCTGTCATGACATATATAATTCAAAATTGTGTTACTTATAAACTAGAAAGGTCATTTAATAAAAATCAGAATGATTTGGTGTAAAGTAGCAAGTTATAATGAATATAATAGTAACATAATAAAGTAAAAAATCGTATAAAATGCGTAGTATGAGAATTGCACCTCGTTAATAAAGGTAATAATAATAACAGTAATGATATCATTATGTGAATAGAATATGTAATAAGAGGTGTTTTATCTAGGTAATTACGGTAAAAAATAATTCATGTGAATCGGGAAAGATGGGTGTTCAGAATAAGAAAGATGTAAACACAGAAGGAATTGGGAGGGGATAAGAGGTTTATAATATTCAGTTTAGGTATCAAGTGATCCAGTCGTAGGCCAGGGTAAACATAGAGGCTGCATATACTCCTTCTGGATACATAAGTTTGATTTTCCGGAGTTGATCCAGATGGTTTCAGTTATGTATAGTAGCCGTAATGTAGCTCCTTGAGTTAAATTTTTCGGAACTTGATGTTAAACAGAGAAGGCTTCATCTATTTTGATATGATGTTCACTATCTCCCAAGTGAGAAAGAATGGTACTGTTAATCGACTTAGTGATTTGTTTTTCCGAACCACACTGGTACATGTTCACGAACACGCAAGAATAAAGCCCTCTGAGTACGGCCTATGTAACTAGCTCCATATGGGCAGTTGAATTGGTATACACACATAGAGAAGCCCATCATCAGTAACTTACCCTTGATTAGTTGTGTAAGTACTGGTTTGGTTGGAAAAATTACGTGTAACTTGGAGGCGTGAATTGTCCTTTCAACAGATATCTATCTATTAATAGATAGATACACTGAAGAACACAACGAAATAACAGCTATCCACGAAGTACAATGGACGGCAGCACTCCTACAACTGAACAACATATGGAACTCAAAACAACTGTTAATCAGTATCAAAATGAGAATCTTCAATACGAACGTCAAGGCATTTCTACTGTGCAAAGCTGAAACGGAGAATTTCCACAACCATCGTCAAGCATGTACAAGTATTTATAAATAGTTGTCTACACAAGATACTAAATGTCCGGTGACCGGATACCATCAGCAATAGCCTACTACAGTAGAGAACAAAACAGTTTCTAGCTGAAGAAGAAATTAGGAAACATGCTGGGAGTGGATAGGACATACATTACAGAAACTATCAAACTGCATCTCGAGGTAATTGTTAACTTGAAATTTCGAACGGAAACGGAAAAGAAGAAGGCCGAAGAACACATTGCGTCAGGAATCGGAAGCAGACATAAAAAAGATGAATAACAACTGGGAAGGATTGTCCAGGATAGAGTTGACTAGAGGATGTTGGTGGGAGGTTTATGTCCCTCCACGGGAGGTAACAGGCGTGAGTAGGTAAGATAATCTTATCAGAAAATTCCTATCAGAAGGTATTAAAAAAGAAGAAACTGTGACTCAGTCGGTAGAAAAACCCTTTATCTGGAACTGGGTGACATTTTAAGACGTCGACTCAAAAGATGTTATATATCCGTTAACCAAGTATATTTACCACTGTTATATTAGGTTTAGTTTTTTTTACAGTATTTCGCTTTTTTGAGCGTTTTTATTAAATAAAAACCGTTACTGTTTCGGAGATATTTTCTCAACTACTCTAAATAGATTACCATTGCCAGCTTTATTGATAAGTAATTAATGTGAAATGACTTAAGTAGGATTAGATTACTGTTAGGACAGTCGGAAAAAGAGACCAATAATTATCATGTTAAGTCCAATGGTGTCCTTGAACCTTAAATGTACATTTCTTATTGGTCGATGTTTATTTCACTTGGTAAATATTTTGTAAATGTTGTTTCCTATTTTATGGTACGATGTGGTATGCTTGGTTGGTATATAAACAAAGTATGTTTGAAATATAGTGATTCATAACTCCGAGGCTGTGATTTGTGTTCTTGACTCAACTGGCTGGGACAGACAGCGAAGCAGGGCCAATCAGGGCACTAGGTCGTCCTTACATGTTTACGTGTCCACTGTCACAGAGCCGATCAATAAATACGTTGCGTGTCTAAAACCTGCAGTCACCCACGCGTTACAACAATTACGTTGAATGCTTTTGATCGAGAGCTAAATACTACACACTTTCGGGAGTGAGAGAGAGAGAGAGGGGGGGGTGAAAGCTAGCATGAATTTAGTATGGGTTCAAACTTTTTGCTTCTGAATTATTGATGTAGTGTTGTACCGGCTAATCGACTAGAATAAGCTACTCTGAACCGCAAGTTTGCTTGAATTTTTTAATCTTTTGACTGAAAACGTTCGAACCTTAATATTGTCAAATTATGACCTTATGTGTCCTTAATAGCAAGGGTAATGCATGCATCAGGAGGTTTCTGATTAATGTTCAGTACAAAGCACCTGTATGCTATTTATTTATATATTTGTGCACATAAACATTGGTACAAGGGGGCACTAAGTACATATGCACCACAAAATAACAGTGAGGCTAGTAACAGCTTTCATTGGTTTGTGTGAGGGCTGTAATACTGCCCGATTGCCCAAACCGAAGCAGGTGGTTCTCTTAGGGGACCACACCCGGAGACTTCGATCTAAAGGTTTGATCCACAAAGCAGTGGAGTAACGTAAGGAGATGCAGTCACGTGGTAGCTCGTGATCAACAATAGGTTCACACATCATTTGCTCCCTCAGGATCCTGGAGTCCATGTTCACGATCGGTTCGGAATCAGGGTTTTTCAACTCCCGTACATCGATCCTTCATATCCACCAACCCGGTTAAAGTACCGGACATTCGCTTTTCGTCCTCTCAATTTCGTAAACAACACCCCTGCGACGAGAAGACAGTGAGTAGGACTTCCTTGTCAGTGTCTGTATACACGTGGCCATGTTAGAGCATTTTGAGAGGGGTGCAGACTCTCCCCACCCTTGACCGTAACAGGGCATTAGTATGTTAGTGAAGTGTTAAGTACAACGCAAACACTTCTAACTGATTGTTTTCATCCATCGGCATTCGAGTGGAAGTCAGCACAGCACTTCTTCAACCTAATGAAATTCTTCACGAGTAAGTGCTTTGGGATGCTGTGTAGAACGACAATGAAAGCTCCTCCTCCTCTAGTTTGGAGAAGACGGCGTTTTTAAAAGCATCAACTTAAGCTGTAAATCTCTATGATTTCAGAATTATTGAATAGTTAGTTGATCTTTTATACAGCCAGTTTAAGTAGAACTGAAATGTTTTCCTATTCAACAGAAGAGATGCATATAAATATGTAATTTCTAATCTTATAACTTCTGGCTAGTTGCCTCACACCATAAGTTATGAACTTATCTATTGCTAGGCTATATAGTTCATCTTTTTGGTTATTCCGACTTGTAGTAATATACCGAACTAGCTATCTATTGTCACGATCAATGAAATGAATACATAGGTAACTCCGAACTGTTAAGTCATCACAAATTAGGCTAAGATTAAAAGTTTATATAGGTCAGTCCCGGTTAATCAACTTACTAAATAATCAAGCATCAAAACTGATGTGATGATCGATATAATTCTTCTTATAATTCTTCATTTCATTTCGCTAAATTCAGACATTGCAAAACGAACTCGAGTGGAAAAATTAAGGGCATTGTTTGCTCAAGAGTTGGAGTCAGTCTCAGATCCTATGACTCGTCGTGGCCTACTTCAAAGTATCGGACTCAAAGAATTTTCAGATTATTTAGCTTTATTACCAGAAGAACGTGACACTATTGAGGCAAATACTCTTCTGAAGCAAGCAACAGAGAATGTTAAAACAGCCACTCGACAGTATGCACGTCGTCAGGTGATTATATTTCTTTTTTTGTTGGTATTTCTCTGTTGACGGGTTATAGCTAATCGTGTTTGCATTGTTGACTTGGTTGGTTTTAATTTTTATAAACTCAGTAGTCTGTTCATAGTTTGAACCAAGTTTATGTCAATTAGTAATTTTCGTCGATGCCTTTGTGGCTTTAGTTCTTTTATTATTTTTTGTTCACCTACAATACTACTTTACAAAATTTAGTATACTGTATATTTAGTGTGCAAAATTTAACATAGTTATGCAATAAATCAAAGTGAACTGAAAAATAAATATCACTCACTAATCATTTACAGAGTTCCATATTTTATTGACTTACCTTAACATACAGATTTTGTGATATTTGTATAATTATTGCATCATTTCGATGTACATAGCTTCCTTAATCATCTTGATGAGAACAAGAATGGAGATGTTTGAACAGATTAACATGAATCCATGTTATTTCGTTAGGTTCTCTTTATCTTTTTACAACATGTATTATTAAAAAATTCTAATTACAAAACAATTCGAAAATTACTAAGACGTTATCTATACATTTAAATTACTTAATCCTTTAAACTAGCTTATATAGTAGATAAACTGTAGAATTTTAACCCTTAATAATTTGTTTGTTTTAAAATTATTTCACTGGTATTGGCCTCCACACATACGTGCTTATAAACAAACATATTTTACTACATCTACATATCTGGCCACATATTTATTCCAATTAATTACTGAATCATTGTGTCCTTCCACATACTTCCACATACTTCTGCATACTTAGCTGACAGCAGCTTGTTCATTTTCACATCTGTTTGGATGGTAATTATTAAATCATTCATTCTACCCTCTCTCTGTGTTTTTTCCTGGTTATTGGAGTTGTGCGTTGGAAAGGAATTATTTTAACTACTTCATAATAAGGACTGTACGGTCAGTTTGTATATGAAGCACTAAGATTAACGAGCAGCTATCCGTTACAAAATACACAAATAAATTTAATTGAAATTTTTAAGTATGTATAAGCGTATCATCGTAAGGATGTGAGACTAAATAAAAATATTGTAAATATATATCTTCTATAGTAGAGCATTCTACAACAACGATAGTAACAAAAGATCAAAGAGCTGTTCATAAGTACTTACGTAATGAGGAAACACTAATAATTAGTAAACATGAAATGAGTAAAGCTCAGTTATTCATTAACGTAAGTAACCCATGGTGTCATTAAAAAGACAATTCAACAAAGAAGGTTTTCTTTTCTACAATATCATTTACTCAAACTGCACAATTGTATTTATAGTTAATTAGGGGATAAAGTAGTTTAGCAAAGAATAAAATGATTACCTAATCTTGGTTGTCAAAGTTTCATGACGATCAAGAATTTAGAAAAGGATGAAAAGTAATTATCCACTTGACGAGTATGAAAAAGATGTAAAATAAATTAAAAGTATGAAGGCGATAAAAATTATTAATTTGAAAAACTAAAAACATTAAAAAGATGTATTAATAAGCAATTTTCCGTTTATAAAAACTTAGGTGTCCATACCATGTAAAAATGATTGTTCTGAATATCAACAACATTCTGAATAATAATAATGAAAACGTAATGTACATTGAAGAAGTCATTAGCTATTTATACTCAGTAGCACAGTGGATAGTGCGTTGGTGTTTGAAGCAAAAGGCAATAGGTTCGAGTCTCAGCGTGAACACTATCAGTATGATATAGATATATCCAGCTGACGAAACGAAAGTAGAACAAAACCTGCTTCCTAACTTCTACTTCTAGTTAGGATCCATCCATTCCATAAGACGACTTTTATATCATGAATTAAGAATGGTTGTCTGAAATTTCCGTGAACTAAAAGTTATTTTAATCCATATTTTCTTTTATTACGTTGTGGTTATGCATAGAATTTCAAGCATGGAGTCTAAATAAACTGTCTAGTATTTTTATGGTATATCTAACTTAAAATTTATGATATACATTTTACGAATGTTTAGTTGCTATTTATACTGACGTGTATTATCAATTAGTGTAAGGTAAAAAATCATAATAATATGCTTTAAACAATTTGTCCATTCATTAAGTCTATAGGGGGCATATACAAAGGTGGAAATTACTGGAGTTTAAATGATTTAAAATCGTATTGTGAAGAAGTAATCACATCACTGACTATCCATTTATTGAAATAATAAAAATGAGTGTTTCGTTGATTGTTTCTAACTATCCATTATCTAATACGGTATATCTCAAGATTAACCCGCCTCGATTGGTAACCGTAAACGACTAGTGTACTCTATCCTTTTCCAAGTTTAGCACGTCTTATTACTTCATGTTTACCTGTAATATTTTTTTTATTTTTAGTAATTTTATTTCCTTGGTAGATTCCTCTGTGTACTGCAAAAATATGCATCAATTTACTACGTATATTAGGTTCTATTTTCTGCTTACTAGTTTTTGATAGAAAATTTAATATTGCTTAAATATGAAGTATGATATTTTATTCTTAATCTTTATTTTTATCAGGTTTCTTGGATTAGAAATCGATTTTTACGACGTCCTATAGAAGGTAGCATTCCTGTTTATCGTATAGATGTGACAGATTTTTTAAACTCTGAATCTCCAGATATTTGGCAAAAGACAATTATTGCACCAACTGTACGCTTAGTCTACAATGAATTAATAAAAATAAATGATTTACTCTTTGAAAACTTGAAAAACAATGATTATCTAAAAACTTTACTTGATATTTGTCCTGAAAATTCTTGTCCTAAAGCAGAATCATTACTTTTGCCTAAATCTTTTACTGAATCAAATAATAACAACAATTCTCCATTCATTTGTTCAATATGTTCAAATAGAATATTTACACAAATCGATGGTTGGGAAGCTCATTTAAAAAGTAGATCACATCAGAAACGTGCAGCAAAATATAAGAAAAGATTACTTATCGAGAAAGCAATGAAAAATTTATCATCATAATATTTTGTCAAATAGATAATGTTTTGTATAAAAGTTGTTTTTTTTTCTCAATAAAATATATTACATTAATATTCGTACTGAATATTTAAATGGTTATACAGTTTGTGGAATTTCTCTTATATTATTATAATGGTTTGTGAATCCAAAATGATAGTATAGTTGACCTTCAGAATTATGATAATCAGTTAATTAGTAAATAATATAACTCAGTAAATACTTCAAATTTCAACCGTTTGATTTGAATTCCATATAAAAGTGCTACAGCACCTGTATCATGAATTAAATTCACTTATGAGAATCTGTTTTATTGTCTTAATTACACCTCGGACTGTCAGGGAATCATAACTGTTTGTCAATTGAAATTTCTTAAATTACAGTGAATATTTACCGTATCGTATTTATTGAATGAAAACTATTTGTTGATATAGTTTGTTGTAGTGATGTATTTTTCATTTTGACTTTTTGGGAAAAATGTTTTAACTTAGATTTGCTAATAGGTTTTTGGATTTTAAAGTGCTCTAGTTCGACGTTTATGTTGAAATAATACATAAGTTAATAAGTAGTCAAAAGAGTCAAGGGTTTTCTATCGACTCGTATCAACCATCTAACATCACAATATAGTGCACATTATGTCGAGTCATTTAGACTAGTCGGTCACATTGTAACTTGGTCGATAGGATTCGGTCAGCACAATAGAACCAGAACAATGTAACATTGGTCACTGCTCAGTGATCGATCAGTTGTGAATGTGTTCAGTGTAATTACAACCCAGTATATCACGTAGGGTACGTTTTGTGGTTTGATTATTCATTTGACTCTCATAATAGACCTAACCCTGTGGATCTAACTCATATTGTACGAGGGATTTATTTCACAACTTATTCAACCACCTATTTAGGGTTCAATTGCATAGAGCATCAAACAAAGCTCACTAGCATGAATCGCTACACTTCTCGACAGTGTAAAGACAGAAACTCAAGAAAATCAGCGAAATGTTAAAATGGACAAAATGAAAATATACGTACATAGACATATATAGCATAAAGTTGCTCAATGTTTGGAAAAGGAGTATGTTGGGTGCATCTACACTAATACCCTCCAATTTCAACTTTTTATACGATCTCATGTCTCAAATTCTCAAGTCGAAATCTGCATTTTGATCACAGCTCAAACCTGCATCTACAGACATCGTAGATTCGCCTGTTCAAGCTACTCCTAGAACTTTTTCAGATCACTTTAATCAACGTTATACGTCAGAGTTTTAGTTTTTTAGGTATGAGTAAACTACGACAAATCACATAAATGTTTAGGGGACGCACTTAATACGCCAAAAGTGCTTGTTATTAGCTATGCTAAGCAATTTATTTTCAATTAGTATTAGGATATAGCTTGGAATCCCTAACTATCAAAATGCGTTGCTGTAAGTTTTAAAGCAGTCGATCATCAACCACTAAGCTATAGGTCCAAACCCCATCTGCCTATTTCTGACTGGGCAGCTAAACGAGTATTACATTAGCCCTCACAAATAAAGAGTGCGTCAAGGCTGGGCTCAAGGACCAGTTACTGTTTTGCATAATAGGATTAGTAGCTATATGTGGAGTTGCACTGATATTTTATTATTACTTCAGTATCGGGAATTAAATTATCAATTGCCACAAAAGTTTTCATCATCCTTTTAATCACAACGAATTGCTTCAGAAGTTCTTCGCGATTGCTTGTGCCTAATCGGAGGTTTTCGTTCTTCGATTACCGTTTTGACGAACATGTTTGATTTACCTTGATACTGTGACACGTTTTAAATGTTCTGTAGTATAGAAAAATTCACGATTTTAAGTGAGAAATCACACCATATAGAGAATCATGTGTATAATGTTTACATCCAATTTGTAAGGGTTTGTATTTGCTCGTTGTTGATATTAAGGACTGTGAATGATCACTTTTAGAGTATGTGGACCCTGATAAGGTTTCCCTGATATTAACACTAATTTACGAGGATTTCCGAACGAAGTTCTGATGGTGGCTAGTGACGGGATCCAGGACGTGTTTGTCGTATCTGAGACTCCTCGGCTGGATACACCGGCTTTTCACTGTTGACGTCCACGTAAATAATCGAGCCCGATGCATTTCGCTTCAAACACAAACGCGTTATCCACCGAGCTATTGAACTCAGATAGCCACTGGCTTGATTAATGGGATGTACTGTGTTCGCATGGGTTTGGATTTGTACGTTGTTGATGAAATGTACATCCTGGATTTCACTACCATTATTACAAAACCTTAGCTCACTTGTTCATCGATATCATGAAAGCAAATCAAAACAAAAGTGGACATTCTTTAGTCACTGCTCAAGAATAAATACTGAAGTTTTTTTATTAATATGTGGGTAAATAAACTAGTTCAGCATGTACTTGATCTTGGGCCTCATTTAGATGTAAGAGCTAATGATACTACGTGATCGCCCAACAAAGTCATGCATTTGTTTCGTTTCAAAGCATGCGGTATCGATTGCTTCTTATTATACCATACCTAGATACTACACTTTAATACATATGGTTGTAAGCAGCTGATGAGAAACCACAAAATATAATTAATTCATATTATTCCGCCTCATTTATTGTTCTGGCTTCCTTCAATTTCGTAAAGGAAACCAATTGTATGAAATTCTCGTAGATGACCAGTCAAGTATCTGTGATGATTCTGTTTACTAGTCTAATCTTAGCCCGTATCTGTGGTTAGAAGCATTTTAGTGACAATAGTTTCATATTATAAAATTCTCATCGATAGTTAATGGTCTTATAGTCATGAATAAAACTTCCTCAAATTTTATTCCCATTTTACTCTCTTAGTACTATTATAGTCATTTAAATCAAGCAGTTTAGACTACATTGTAGGTGAATTCGTTACTGCACAATTTTCCATCATTTATTTTAAAAAAAATTGTTTCTGATGATACCCTGCTAAATTCCAAGGACATAATTGTTAGTTAAATATTCCGTTTCAAAATATGAGTTTTACTTGTATTAACAACTAGGTGATAAGTGTTCTACAGTGTTCTTTTTATTTTTAATTTTTAGCCTTCTCGTCAAGTCTACTTTTTCTAGTGTTAAATAATTTAACTAAAAGATTGGGTCAATATTGTTATTTGTGCAAGAATATTAATATAAATGTCTATATTTAAAAGGTATATCACTAAAACTGTAGTGGCTATTGTAAAGAAGTATACAAAATTAGTGACATATTTGGAAAACAAATGGGAAGGTAAACATGCTTCATCATTTCATAATTATAAATTATTTAAAAATGGTAAGTTTTAGATAAATTTCTCTTGTTTGTATTAAAATAATTTATGGTTTTTATTTCTAGTTGATGATAATTCTACTGGCTATTTGATAAGTTTAATCTATTAGCTGAATCTATTGTGACAATTTTGTTGATTTTTTTTATTTTTTTAAACTACACAAAACCTTCAACAAAGCCTATACTGACTCTGAAAACTAAGGAAAAGATAACAATGATCAGCCGATCCATGTATAGTAGTTAATATTTGTTTTTAAATTAGGATATCTCAGTGTATTCTTTTTCATTAAATGGTGATACAGTTAGTCAAGGAAGAAATACGTTTATTTAGTTTATTAACTTATTTAATAGATTAATCTATCTAGTGGTCAGTGTTATTATTCTGATTGAATATTGTACGTAATAGGTGGTATTAATTTTAGTAAAAAAGTACCTACGATTAATTCATTTGAAATACTGTAGTAGATGTGAAGGTATTGTCTGTAAGTTTTGTACGTGTCTACCTATATATGTAAATAAGACACATTTAGATTATCAGAATGGGTTTTGTGAAGATTTTTTAGAAATTTCACTGGTTGAAATCATGAGTCAATTGAAGCTAGACCACCATGGAAAACCTGGAAGCACTGGACGACCATTTCGTCCTAGCATGGGACTCCTCAGCAGTGCGCATCCACGATCCCGCCCCCCGCGAGACTCGAACCCAGGACCTAGGACGAAACGGACGTCGTGCTTCCAGGTTTTCCATGGTGATTTAGGTTAAATTGACTCACGATTTCAACCAGTGACATTTAGATTATTAAATAAAAACACTAAGTAGGTTAGTTCAACATAAAGATCAATAAAGACAATTCTTTATCAACATTTACCACTGTTAGTTTCACTTCAATTGTGTTTACTCTATTTTGTATCAAACTGTAAATAAGCTTATTGTATGATACTCAATCAAGCAGTAAGTTCAGAGATTTATTGATATACGTAATTTTATTTCAACGTAAGATAGTTAAAGTTAAGCTAGAGGAAAATTTTAATGAAGGTTTATCTCAAATGGTTTGGTTGCCTTCCTTTAGATTTGCATATATGCGCAGCAGCAATGACCTCAATCAACTTTGATGATAGAAATATGATTTAATTATGATTATTTCCTATATATTCTAGATAAAATATGGGGGGGGGGTTAAATTTGCTTAAAAATATTGTAGATTTTATTGAAAATATTTATCAATTAATCTTGTATATTTGAATATGTTTACAGGTGTCCACTCGACGTTGATAGATTTGGGTGACCTCAGTCAGTTATGGATAGATATTACTTGTCGTTCTCAGTCAATCTTAGAAATCCTACCGACTCTTAGTAGACATCAGGTGTATGTCCTACGTCAGGTATAATTTGTTTTATTTTCTAGCTTTATTCTATACAATTGGCTTAATAATGTTCACTCTTCGTAGAGCTTAGTGAATTATGTAGGTTTTCTTACAATTGTATGGTAGCTTCAGTGAAATTCAGGTTACACTTTTCTTTCTATTATTAAAAATTTGTGGCTATATAGCAGTAACGAGGCAATCCGTCAAGTACGCATATATAAATATAGTAACTGAGTCATTGCAGTCCTTAACGTCAACAACGGGAAAATACAAAGTTTTACGAATAAAATCCTGTGTTTTTGCTTAATATATCCTTTAAATCTACAGGTTTTATTTTATTGTAACTATGACAAACTGGACATTACTTTGAGTCTTTCTTGTTTTTACCCTTGTAGTGGTGAAAATAGAGGTTATCATTTTCAATTGTAATCGATCAAATAACATTTTAATTAGTATCAGAATGTATGTAGAATGAATCTATTTCGCTCCTTTTGTTACAGGTGCCTAAAGATTTGGTGAAGATTTTGCCTGTTATGCTTCTTGCTCCATTACCAGGAACAATACTAATTTTACCAATCTTGTAAGTAATAACTATAAAAATACAATAATATTATAGTGACTTAAAGTGATTCCAGATTTTAGAATAATAATTGAGATTATATTCATGATAAAGAATTATTTACTGTTATTTATACTATTCTTTGATTCGGCTCTACTTTTCTTATCGTTACATATATATATGTATATATATGTTTTAATGTAAACATTCACTTGATTATTCATGGAAAATGCAAGATCATAGCTCACTATGAATCAATCTCAATAGGGAAAGAAATTAAACATTCATGATATCAGGTAGAATAACAATTTAATAATTGATTAACTGTAATTTATTAGCGGCAAAATATATCATGAATTACATGAAACCTTACAATTGACATAAAATCATATTACCATAAATTACTTGTTTAATGAATAAAAACTAATTATACCAAGAATAACTGTATAAGTTCACTTGGTGGTGTTTTACTTGTATCTTCCCATTGTTATTAAAGGCTGCAATTGACTAGTCTCATGTTAGCATATGTGGATTGCCTCGATATAGCCTTAAGTCATAAGCTCTCTAAGCAAAGATGGATAGTGGCTAGCAGTGAAGTTCAGGACCCGCGTTTCGTCCTATTTGGGACTCATCAGCTGGATGTACCTGCATCCTAAAGTTGATATTCACTCCGGCACTCGAACCCGGTACCGTTCACTTCAAACGCCATCGCGTTATCCACTAAGCTACTGAGTTCTGGTAGGCACCTGCTTCTGCACTGGGGTGAATTTTAAATGTGCTCGGTGTTGTTTTTCTTGTATCTTCCCATTGTTATTTAGGACTGCAATTGACCAGTCTCATGTTGGCATATGTGCATCCTGTGCAGATCGCCTCGATATAGCCTTAAGTCACAAGCTTTCTAAGCAAAGATGGATAGTGACTAGCAGTGGAATCCAGGACGCGCGTTTCGTCCCAAAACTATATAAGTTTTATAATTTCCTTTCTACCCTTATTCTTAACAGTTTATAATCTTTAAAATGGAAATGTGTCTGATTCTTCTATGAATCATTCCGATTTATTTGATTTTAAAAGTATGTGTGAAATTGTAGTTTCAATGGAAAGTAACTTCAAAAAGATATTTATCTAATTTCGATTTTATTAATGGTCATTTAGCTTTTGCCTCTGAAATAAGTTTAGTTCAACGAAAGGTCCCATTCAATGCTGTTATAATTCATTCATTAATTCCTAAAATCTTACAGAAATTTGAATAATAGAAATGTAAGCACAAGTTGGAGATTTAGGATTTTCCAGTAAATTCATTTCTAGGTGTATTTATTTGTCCAAAGTTTTACAATAACTGTCCACACTCTTTTTTATTTAGTTATTTAAAGACAATATGCTCGTGCTAACCAGACATTTGGTAGTACAAAAGCTGTTACTTTTCTCAAATTTAATTATGTCAAATAACATAGATCTTGGTAGTGAATCCAGAGTTACTCCATTTTTTTGTTCATTGGATTGGAATCGAACACATTTTTTGTAAGGAAGCAATCATTAATAGTGCCCCCAAATGCCCTGGTATGGCCGAGAGTGGGGTGGGCGTGCCCTCCCTCTCGAAATGCTCTCACACGGCCACGCGTATACAGCCTCTGCCAGGGAAGTCCTACTCACTGCCTTCTCGTGGCTGGGGTGTTGTTTACGAAAATGAAAGGACGAAAAGTGAATGTCCGGCGCTTTAACCGGATCCCAAACCAAATCAATGGTGCACATGGGCTCCAGTATCCTGCGGGAACAAATGGCGTATGGACCAATCGTTGGTCACCGGCTTCCATGGGACTGCATCTCTTTACGATGCTCCACTGCCTTGTGGGTCAGACCTTTAGGTCAAAGGCTGGAGGTGTGGCCCCCTAAGATAACCACCTGCTTCGGTCTGGGCACCCGGGTAGTATCACAGCCCTCACACAAATCGAATGATTTATGTGGCGCATATCTATTTGGTGCCTCTTTGTACCAATATCTATGTGTTAAAATAAATAATAAATAAATAATCATTAATAATGCAAAGCATCAATTGGAGTCGTTAGCAAACTATTTCAGTAGTTTCTTCTTTTTTGTTTTTATTAAAATGAGTGATTAATAATTTGTGATATAACACACTTGATATTCACTAACTTGTACCCTCTCACTCTAATTTTTTTCTTCATAGTTTTGCTTTTCCTCGTATTTTTCTGTCACGAGCATTTTGGACACCAGAACAATGTAAATCTATCGATTCAAAATGTTTGAAAGATCGATTTGACTATAATACTCAATCTTTATTAAAGTCTAAGCTCTTAACAATAATTAATTCGTCCCCATGTTCTATGAATTATTCTCAACCTATTTTGAAGTCTTTAAGAAAGTTAGCTAGTGCGTTAAGTCAGGTTAGTTTGTTAGTTTCAAGTATATAAATTTACGTTAATTCTTTGATGAACTCTAACATTTGAGTATTGTTTTAAGTTTTTTAAAAGAAAAACCTGTTTTTACATATACACTGGTGAATGATTTATTCATTCAACGTTTGTAACAATGTTTTTATTATATCAGAATGGAAAACCATTTTATAGTCTTCGTTTTGAAGATAATCCTCATCCGTTGTGAAATCACTGAAAACCAGGAAGCGTTGAACAGCTATTCTATTGTCGTTCCATATTTGTCATCAATACGCAGCCGGGACCTTGAATATAATCGAACTTACGATTGTGTAGTTTCATGGAGAGCTCAAGATTTACATTTCCAACCTTAGTCAATCCTCGTCTAAGTATTCGTTTTTGTATGAAATATGATCCGACTTTTTTTCGCACTTTGTATACTATCATCATCTAAGCGTATCTAAAACATTAACCATGCATATGCTCCTTCGAAAATTAGAATGTATACCATACGATTAGCACTTTACGGGATTCGATTTTGAGTTCATTGTTTTATATTCGCAGATAGATCCTAAATATTTTGTATAGATCATATGGTGGTTGACTACCTCCAACCACCATCTCAATGTAAATATATTTATGTAGATATTTTGAAACTTTCATCTTTAAATCTCGTCAACTTCAATCAGGTCAGATGTACTCTCTCTGTGTCAACGGGCTAGTTAGTGTGAAATTGTACTCTCGTTGTCGGTTCGTTTTTTGTTGATTAAATAGTTTCGGTTTTTCTTGAGTTTATGTGGACGCAAACAAAAACCAACAAATGTATGTTTAATCTTAATAGGGAAAATGTTAATCTAATTAGTGTAATTTAGTTACTAAATTGATGTGAAATAGATGGAATGTGGCTAGCAGAGTGGGACCCAGTGACTATTTAGACTCGGTAACTTAGTGAATAACGCGATGTGCTTTGAAGCGAATGATAATGGGTTCGAGTCGTGGAGTGTACATCAACTCTGGTATGAAGGTCCATTCAGTTGGCGGGCCCCAAATAGGACTGAACGCGTGTCCTGGATTCCACTGCTAGCTATATTCTATCTTTTCTTTAGCAACTTGTGTCATCCTGGATATATCGAGGCGATCGGCACAGGTTTGCTTAATTATCAAATGGACATTCATGAACTCTATTTTAAGTCAATTTTTTGTTAGTCAAACCAAAGTAGAATAAAAAAGCATATATTATAAGTCATAATCCGTTGAGATTTATATTAAAGTTTACAGTTTATCTGGAAACATTCAAAACTACATGAAGTCAATTTAATTGTAAAGTAATAACTTCCTACTTGAACCTCATCGATTGAACATTATATACCATAGGGTTACTTACTTACTTACTTACCTATTCACGCCTGTTACCCCTCGTAGAGGAGCATAGATCGTCCGCCAACATTCTCCATCAAACTTTATCTTGAACAATCCTTTCCAGTTCCTGTTCATCCTTTTGACGTCTGCTTCCAATTCTCGGTTTGTGTTTTTCTTATTATTGCAAACCATGTTGTTACTTATCATATATCGTGTTTTATATATTTTCACTTATGAAGCTAATTACTTCTCAGATATTTCATTTTCAGGTTTTTGAATAATGTTAACTGTAACAGCACAACAAGAACAGCAAACTAAATGCTAATCTTATTATAGTAACAAATATTATTTGATTGAATAAACTGAATAATTAAATCCGCACGCGAGACTGAAGGTCCTGGGTTCGAGTCCCGCGTGCGGGACCGCGGATGCGCACTACTGAGAAGTCACATACTAGGACGAAACGGTCGTCCAATGCTTCCAGGTTTTTTATGGTAGTCTAGCTTAAGTCGACTCATGAATTCAACTATTTGAGTAAATTTTAGCCAAATGTTTTCAGCATAGCTTATCTTCTCACTTAATACATTCTACTCTAAATATGAACTAGGAATATTGTATGTGTATGTGTGTGCATGTGTTTATTGTAATCATATCAACTCGTTATGTGTGTTTATACTCGTGAATATTTGCTCAACTAGGATTAATTTAGATATCGTTTTTTTACTATATGGTAACTGTGAAGTTTGTTAAGATTGTGACTTACAGACTGATAACCTTTATCAAGTGACAGACTATCAATAATATCTTATAGGTGTCTATGCAACGACTTATAACTTATCTTAGTGTACGGTTATTCAACGAATATATACATGATATCTCGTTATCAGAGCTGGGATAAAGAAGATCGCTTGCAAATGTTTTAAGACTGAGTTCGTTAATTCGCAGATAACTGTCTCCTTGCTGTAATATAAAATATAATTACATAAAACAATATACTATGGTGTTATATTTCACATCTTTTATGAAAAACTGAGTTAATAGGTTTTGTTTGTAATTTTACGATACTCATATTCTGTCACCTATATAACAAGATATCTTGTTAACTCTTCAATATATAATAGTTGAATACCAATAAATCATCGATCTAAAACATGATACTAATTGAATAATGTTGCATTGTGTAAAATGGAATATTTATTCATTACGTTTTCATTATCTTTCTGAACAGTATGGTTACCATAAAGGAAGTGAGCTGCTAGGATTTTTCAAACGTCTTTAACAGCTTATTCCATTGATATGAGATTTTGTTTGTTAACAATAATTGTACTCTCACTGCATATACCTATTTTGATAATATCTCTTATCTTGCAGTTATCTATCATTTTCTAGAAGGCTGATAGATTGGGCTTATTCTGACATTCTATTGGTTGCTAAATAAGCTGTTTATCATGCTTCAAAAATTCACAAGTCTTTCATATATTGCCTCTTTGAGATTCTAACATTTTCGTAGTTCAACTCCTAACCAGACTGATTAAATTAAGCGAAAACATGTTACAGCGTTTGGTGTCTTCATTAGACTAAGACGAATAGGATTATCATTTTGTCTACTGTATTGTTCCTCGTAGATAATAAAAAAATTGTTGTGTCTATACTCATTTTTTTCTAAAAGATAAAGAGCACTATAGACAAATCTTTTTTTCTACAAATTCCGTATCCGGTAAACAGATGATTTATACTTGTGTATGATTTTTACTGATCTAGAACATATTGTTGAAAGTTTTTCGTCATTATTTTCACCTTATTATAACGCAACACACACTCGAAATACAACCACTTAAACGAGGTTACAGTTGTGTCTTAGACTGGTATGATAAACCGATTGGCTCCATCTTTGTTGCCTTCTTGATGTTCGTCTGGCTGTAAAAGGTCAAATCTATAGTCTATCGGTGAGAACAGTTTTGCTCTAGACTTATGAAACCTGGGTTTTCCGAGTTGTGGACGTTAGGTAACTCTGTGTTTGATCATCATCGTCTCCGGAGGATTACCGACATCTAGTGGAAACACCATGTTAGTAATGCGGAGGTTCGGACACAGTGACAATAATCCAATTAGTACCACTATTTTGGAACACTGACTTTGATGTCTTGGATATGTATTACAAGTGTTGTCCCGGCGAATCCCACGGTGTGCCGACGGTGGGACTGGTTGGAAAAAGCGGAGAGGTAGTCAATGTACGACACGGTGTAGTGGTGTGACAGGAAGCTGTACAGGACTGGCTTCTGTTGGTCCTTTACGACATTCCCTTTGAGGTCCTCTCGACAGTGCAACACGCTGGCTTGAGACTATGAGATATGGCTTAGAATACAAACCAGTGGCGATCCCGCTGTAGCTTTCTGTTTCCTTTTTCGTAAAAATGGAGATAACTTCTTTTCTGGTTGTATTTTAATTCAACTGATTCTCCCATTATTATCATTATTATATCTACTATTATATTTTATTATTTACTTCACGCTTATACACTAATTTCTACTCATTTTTGTTCTTTTTTATTATACTCACTGTCCTTTCTCTATGTTTTCACAACCTCATTTTTATTGTGTGGGGCATATATATTTGGTGCCCACTTAAACCAATGTTTATATGCTGAAATAAATAAATAAATATCTGCATACATTTGAATGCCTGAATTAAATTCTCCCAGTTCGTTTCATATTTGCCTTTTATTGCCATCAGTCACAATGAGATTAGCTTAAGTATGACACATGAAATTGTTCGAGAAATTGTATCTAATCATTGTTATCATAAATGGTGCCAACCCGATTCCTCAATTATTTATATTTAGAGTACAAAGTAAATATTTTAATTTTTCAGTCGATAACTGTCCTAGATCTTTTCATGAAATATTTTTTTCGCTCTATCAGAATTTTAAGTTTTTTTCTAAATGTAATTTCAATAGTTAAGATCATGAGTCAAATGAAGCTAGACTACCGTGGAAAAGCTGGAAGCACTGAATGACCGTTTCGTCCTAGTATAAAACTCCCTAAACAGTGTGCATCTACGATCCCGCCACACGAGATTCGAACCTAAGATCTATCAGTCTCGCACGCAAGCGCTTAACCTCTAGACCAGGTTTTCCATGGTGGTCTATCTACAAATGATTCATAATCTCAATCATTGAAATTACTATAATATCCATAAAAACCTTTCTAATTATGTCATTTAATACATTATTTATCATGCATTAATAATTGACTGTATTCATTGACTAAATTACATAAGAATAAGTTATGTATAAATAATAAAAAAAATTTTGAGACTATGTAGTTGAGTTCATTTTCACCTTGATATTATTTATAAATTGATGAATCTTGTCTGAAACTCAATTACTTTTTTAAAAAAAAATTATGATTTAACTTACTGAATGGAAGAATGAATCCAACTAAACGGATTGATATTTGCATTCTCACAATTTAACTAATGAATTTTATTTGGTGTATTTAGTTATGTTTTCCTTTGTATAGTGAAAGCTTATATTCCTTCAGACTGGGTTTTATATTCACATTTTATAGTTTAGTTTTTAGTCAGTTGTAAACGATCTATATATATATATATCAGTAGCAGTAAGAAAGATTAGATGTAGACAACATGATTCAAAAACAAAGAATGAATACATGGAATAAAAAGTATCATTATCTTGAGATTATGTCGTTCAAACCGATTCCGAGAGATGTCATCCAACATCTCCAACTATTAGTAACAATGATAGCCTAGACCTTAACTGACTGGTCATTGCCTACCTATGTAACAAACTAACATTTAATAACTTTATAAACTTATATCACAATTTAGTTTGACCGCTCCAAACGTTCTGCCAACCTTCTCATACCCTACATCAGTAGGCAGTAATTTGGCATACATAATTCATCCCTTAACCACTTCATTAGATAAAGATTTATTGTGTCACCAATAAATTGGACATTTTTGCATAGTATGCTTCTTTCCACTGCAGTCTTGATCACATACACGAGCGATGCTTCAAAGGGGCCTATGATTAAATAGTAGTAACCTTATTTATTTTAACACATAAATATTGGTACAAAAGGATACCAAATACATATGCGCCACACAAAATTTCATTTGATTTATGTGTGGGCTGTGATACTGTCCGGGTACCCAGACCGAAGCAGGACTAGTAACCTACAAAGGCCATGTATCCCGGTTATAAATTAGAACAAAGTACTATTTTATAAGAATTCAAAAGTTGCTTGTCAGTCATTTCACCATGATCAACTGATATCAGTCCCTAGTAAAGTAGCGTCCAAATTACTAAGGGAAATATATAGTGATTGATTATTTTTTTTATACAAATTGCTTATTAGGAGTTAAACATAGGAGTTATTTCGAATAAAGCTAATTATGCATTCCTGGTCAGTTTAGCTAATTAATTAAACAATGTAGCTTAAATTAGCAAAAAATAAGTTAAGTTTTCCTCAATATGTTAAAATGTTGAGTTGTGTTAACTAGATTCTTTACATTACTGTTAATATCTCTGTTTTAGTTTTAAAACATTTTAAGCTCATGTTTAGTTTCCATGTATTTTTCAGGTAATTTTTTGTTTGATATGTTTTCTTATCATTGAAATCTAAGCATTTTAATGATGTACTAGGACTATTTAATGAAACAAATTTATCATTATACCATATTACGAATTGTTCGGTTCTGAAAAATATATAGTAAATATATAAACTATTTAACATAAGATCTGAGGTTCTGAGTTTGGTCTAAAATTGCAATGAAAAAGTATCAAGTAGTTTCTATCCATTCATAGTTATCATTTTTACTAAATGCAACAATTTACTTACAATATATCATTATGAAATGATCATCTGATAAAAAGAAGAATATTATTCACTCTTTTTGTTATCGAATACAAACTATATGTCATACTGAATATATATTCAAGGAAAACTTAATTTCATTCAATAGACTTATGGAAGAAATATACAGTCAAGAAGTCAGAAATTCTATTTGTTAACTGTACTTCAAGGATTTAAAATGAATAAGACATTTGATATATATCTACAAAACTATGTGTTTGAAGTTATAAGATTTGTAGTTAAATGTTTTGTAAATTTTACAAAATACAATTAATCCTCTATCTGTACAAAAACTATTGTTCATCATTTATTTGGTACTATATAAATCTACCAGGTTATATTTTCTATAAAAACAGAGTGCATTAACTTTAGTCTGAGTAGATATTTCAGAATAATTGTTTGGAAAAAACAAACAACGACTGGGTATATTAAATAATTTGTTTCCAATTCTGAGTCAGTTTTATTTATATTCTTCGTTAGTTTCTATTTGTTTCTATTTATGAGCATATTTTTTTCTGATATTATTCTTTTTCTTTTGAAAAACAAATATATATTTCAATGGTTAAGATCATGAGTCAGTTGAAGCTAGACCGCCATGGAAAACCTGGAAGCACTGGATGTCCGTTTCGTCCTGTTGTGGAAATCCTCAGCAGTGCGCATCCACGACATCGCCACCTGCGAGATTCGAACCCATGACTTACCGGTTTCGCGTGCGAGCACCTAACCACTGGACCACTGAGCCGGCATTCAACGGTGTTAATGTCTAACTTCAACTAATCCACGAAACTGAGCGACACATCCACAGTTATCTTCAGTAAGTTACTATCTCACAACAGACCTGGTTGAACTCCACTGGTCACTACTTCTCACTAGAACTTCAGCAAATACCTCTTGAAGCCAGTCACTATTGAGCATATGTTGATTAATATCCACAAAGCCCTTCCAAATATATATTTGTCTTTTCTTTCAAGGTTTCAATATTAGAACCAATTTCAATCGAACAAATTCGTGATTTAGTACCTGCTTTCAAAGGTCCATTATCTTTAGAACAATTGGATACAAGTCATTTAGTGAGTTATTCTGTTTTATGTGACAATAGTATTTACTCAAAATAAGATTATGATAATAATAATATTGTTTTTTAAGAATATATATCTCTGAAAATTCCAACTTTTACTACCCTTTATGAATTTCTGCTTTGTAATAACTGCTACTTTTATCAATTTTTAGAAAAAAATTGTTATAACTTGTGGCCTGAGTGCCATGCTAATGTATACGTAATGATACCGCCAATCAGAAAGCAGTGAATTATCGATCGGGCCAACGACACATAAAACCCATGAGAGCAGTCTAGAATCCTTATTGGCCTTGCCTTTTGCCTAGCCCAGCCAATTAAGTCCAGAACACCAATCTCAGCCTCTGAAATATAAATCATTTATTTCAAGCATACTGGGTTTATATACCAATCAAACATACCATATCGTACTGTAGAATATGAAACAAAATTTGTACAAGAATTAGCTACAATTGAAGAATGGTAAATCGTATAATAATAGTTTATGGGTCAAACTAAAGCTTATAATAAGAGGGAGATGAATATGAATAGTTTAGTTAAATAACAACTATACGATAAAAATATATTCATAGTATTGGTCCATAAATAGATCCCAAAAGTTACCATTCATTATGCTTATCGAGGCATACCAAAAATAATAAAATGTTTAGTGGTTTGGTTTCATACATTTACCATGCATTTAGTGAGAAAGATATGCTTACTATTATAGTTTTCATTACGGACTGATCTTAGTTAAATAACCATTGGAAACCAGGAAGTTTTAGATAACTATTTCTACTGTTCGAGAATATACATCCACTACACCTCAGGGATTGAGACTAAGATCCTCGGGTTTTACGGTTAGGGCCTAACCTTTGGACTGCTGAGCCAGCATCCAATAATTTACATGTTTAATTTTAATCAATCCATGACATTATGCAATCATTTTCCAATATCATTAATAAGTAACTGCTTCACATTCGTTCGGTCTACTGATTCCTAGATCTTGACAGTTATTTACCTGAGATCCCTCTTTGGTGTAAACTTAAAAAAGTCAATAATCTTAACAGACTCCCTATAGTATTCATTACTATTATTGTATTTTATTTCATATTTAAACTAGCTGTTTACCTCTAGAATATCTATCACTGTTCACTTCAAGTGATCCATCCTTTTTCACCCTACACGTCATACTTACCAATGAAACGTATATTGCTGCCATTTTTCGCACCATCACTGTTATATCTTTTATAGATGACATTATATGTTTTTTAACTATGATCGTTGAAAAAAATGTGATTGAAAATTATACTACTTGGATTATGACCGGTAATAAATTCCAAAATAATGAAAAAAGTGCAAGGTTTCGTACAGAATACATATTACCATGCAATTTATTATAATAAAGCTAGTATTCTTCCGAAGTTTCCTAAGTTTCTACTGTTGTATACCCGATTCTAACGTGTAGTTTATTTCAGAGTCCTAGATATTAGCGAACTGATCAACTAGTCATACATATTTCTCTTACTTTATAACAGCTTTAATTATACACTTCACACTGAATTCAACATAAAAAAGTTTCATTAATCAATGCTTATCCATGTAGATACTATGATTTATATGTAATAATCGACACTTGCTCTAGATTCAATAGTCAGATGACAAGAAGTACATTTAATTCTGCTGTTATTTTTCCATACTGGTTTTTATTTGTTTTACTTGTTTGAATTCTCCATATATAAGCAAAGAGAGCGTTTGATTGATTACAAGACAGTAACTAACGTCAGGATGAATGAATCCTACTGATCATATCTCAGCGTCGTTATTAATCTAATTTATTCGATATTTCACAAACTATTTTAAGATATTAGTTGATTAAAGATATTTTCTACACGAAACTCGGAATCTAATTATCTTGATAGAACTAATGCTCCATGTGAAGTTCAAATTTGCATCATTCTGCTTCACAATCTGATACGTTACATCTGAGCTATCTGGGTCACAAGTCACCTGCAATCGTCTAACAAGTCAATAAAATTTAGGCAAATATAACATTACTGTAATTAATTGCTATTAATTAATAACCATCATCAAAAGATCATAGTAGTGTGTTTCATATTTAAATAACTTCATACAATTCATTATTTTTATGATAATTTAAGAGTATCATATCTATTTTGTACACAATTCTCAAAAGTATAGTTCAGGTGTTTCTCAGTCACTAATAGTTTATTTCACTAAATGTATTGTCATTTATTGTTTTTTTATAGATGGTACGAAATTAATACTCATACACAATATAAACTATCCTTATCCATTGTATATACAACTTGAGTCGATCAATAAAACTGAACACATAGAATGTTGCTAAACCATTCTCGAAATACTTGATATAAATTTTAAGTACAATTAAATGAAATCAGAATAGTTTTGTTGTGACCCCCTAAGAGAACCACCTGCTTCGGTCTGGGCACCCGAGCGGACTCCTAGCCCTCACACAAATTGGATGATTTATGTGGCGCATGTGTGTGTCTTTTTGTACCAATGTTTATGTGTTTAAGTAAAAATAATAAATAAATCAACCCATCGTTTCTCACTAATATTTTTGAAATAATAATCTTACTTGTGCAAATATGGATAGTGGCTAGCAATGGAATCCAGGATGCGCATTTCCTCCTATTTGGGACTCGTCAGTTTGGTGTACCTGAACCCGAGTTGATGTTCACTCTGGGACTCGAACGCAGTACCGTTCGCTCCAAACGCCATCGCGTTATCCATTTAGCTACTGAGTGCTGGGTACTAGGATTACGGTACTGGGTTCGGGTTCCAGAGTGACCATCAACGCTAAAATGCAGGTACATCCGACTGACGAGTCCAAAATAGGAGGAGATGTGCATCCTGGATCCCATTGCTAACCACTATCCATCTTTGCTTAGAAAGCTTGTGACTTAAGGCTATATCGAGACAATCCTTACAGGATGCGCCTATGCCAACATGAGACTGATCAATTGCAGTCCTAAATAACAATGAGAAGATACAAGTAAAACAACATCAAGTCAATAATCTTGTGTTTTAAAATGACAAATTTAAATAAGTACTATGACTTAAACCAATTGCTTTGTTCGGTATATTTTTTCCTAATTATCTATATAATAATTTTTCTGATGGCTAAGTTATTATCAATGTTGTGATATATACTCTGAAGAAGTGACTTACATTAGGTCACGAAACATCAGAAATACAATTTTTCTATTCATTAGGATATAAAAAATTTATTTATTGTCAAATTTCTCCTTAAAACTCTCTAGTCCAACCTTGGTACTAATACTATGGTGTGTGCTACTTATAGAAATAAGTAGTATATAATGTTATTATTATTAATGGCTTTATTCAATATTATATTTTGGTACAATATAGAATTCTCAGCACAGGGTATTTCAACAAGTTACTTACTGAACAACGAACAAAAAAGACAGTAGCGAATATATAAAGAAATATATAAAATAAAAATTTAAAAAAAAAAAAAACCAAAAGAAACTACAAACTTTTAAAATTAAAGACATGTTAAGAATGTAAGTTATTGACTAAGTTAATTCTAACAACCTGTTCGTCACAGAGTATATTTGCTAGGTAAGGTATAATAGAACTTTTATACTTTTCCTTGCGTGCAAGGATTTTTATGTAATTACGTCTCGTTCTACCAGAAGATATACAAGGAGAAAGATAAGAGTGAAGGGGATGGCTAGTATCTGATAAAATAACACCTGCCAGGAGTTTGCATGATTTTAAATGTCTGTCCACAACCATATTAATTATGACCTCGAAAGATTCACCGCACGTCTTACTAACTGCCTTTAGCACTCTTCGCAATACAGCAAAGTCTTTTCTCAAAAGCCCGGGAAAGAATAATGGAGAACAGTAAAGAATAATAGGTAATATGCAAGAATTGACAAATTGTAAGAGAAAATGACGAGTAATTCCAAGAGCATGCAATCTCTTTATGTAGTAGGTCAGACGGAAAACCTTCTTTGATAACGATAAAACGTGGGAAGACCAAGACAGATCAGAGGAAAAGGTGACACCAAGATAATTGACCTTCGACACCGCGTTTATCAAAGAGTCTCCGATGGTACAAGCACTATGGGATCTCAAAATAGTGTTTATATTCCGTTCATGTCTCATACTAAAGTTAACAGCTTGACATTTAGATGGATTAAGTATGAGACCATTACCAACAGACCAACAATCAATACGAGACAAAAACTCATTCATTTCTATGGGATGTAAAGAGGAAGATATAGGCATACATACAGTGAGATCATCCGCGTACTTCACAAAAGTGTTTTCTGTGGAAGATGGCAGGTCATGCAGAAAAAAAGAGAATAGAAGAGGTGAAAGAACAGCTCCTTGTGGTACACCTTCCTGAGACAGTAGAGAATCTGAACTCTTTCCTCCAAACACAGTGTACTGTTCCCTTCCAGAGAGGTAGGAACACAGCCAGTTGGTTATCCAGCTGTCAGTGTTGACGCTGATTAACTTGTTAAGTAAACGTTGTCTTGGTATAGAGTCAAAAGCTGAAGTATAGTCTAGAAAAGCACATCGAACATAGTTCTTACCCTTTTCTAAGTTGAACACTATGTTGTGATGCAGAACTGCAACAGCATCTAAAGTGCTTCTTTTGCGCCTGTATGCAAACTGGTATGGGTCAGTATGCTCTTTTATCGCAGGCTGAAGTGGAAGTATTAATAATTTTTCCATGGTTTTGAGGAAAGGTGAAGTTATTGCAATAGGTCTAAATTTTACATTCTTATCACCAGATGCTTTCTTGGGTACAGGAATTATCTTCATCTTTCTCCACATTTTTGGTATGAGATTAGATGAGAAAGATCTGTTAAAAATAGTTGTGAACGGATGACACAGAACGTCAGCACATTTTTTAAAAAGGAGGTTTGGGATACCATCAGGACCCAAACATCGAGATGAATTAAGCGACTGGAGACATCCTCGTACATCAGTTTCAGTGAACGTATGAACACAGCTATTTTTTAAACCCGTGGATAGAGGGAGCATCACATCAGATGACTGACGTACAAAAGACTTATTTAAGTCACAAACATTCAGCTGGTTATCGCTTCTAAACTTTCTGTCACCTGTAAGTTCTTTAAAGAATTTCCACATACTTGTAGAGTTTTTGCCATACAAGAGGCTTTTAGTAAACATGCAGTTGAGACGTCTAATCTCTAGGTTTATCAGACCATTTAGCTTACGAACTTCATTTGAGTTCTTCTCTTTGTACATTCTTTCTTTAATCCTCCGTAGTCGTTTTAGTTGTGAAGATGTAAGCCGATCAAAACTTACAAAAATGGTTTCAGTGGGACAACAAATATCAAAACAGAATTTAAGGTAACAAGTGATAACATCAGTAGTGTTTTCGAGTGAGTCATCTGTAAATAATTCCCAGTTAGTCGTATGAAACATGTTTTTTAGATTTCGGATATTTTCTTCTGAGTAATTCCTATATTTGACTTTCTTGGTTTGATGTAAGAGTGTACTCTTCCCATGCTTTCCATATACTTTAGGTAGAACACGAATTAAACAGTGATCTGAGCTAGACAATGGAGCACGTTTACGAGTCGCATATATACCCACATCATTAATGAAAACGAAGTCTAAATGAGCATCCAAACGAGTAGGAAAATCTACTACGTTTTGGTGACCTAGTGACGTAAGGAAGCTACAGTCACATGAATTGAAATCACCGCATACAACTGAAAGTGAATCACTGAAGGCAGTAACAGCGAACTCAGTGAATTCATCAGCAAAAACAGATAGTGCAGATGATGTGCAATCTGGAGTCACGTAGATATTGGTAACATAAACATATTTGTATTTATTCAGATGTTTTGGACGACATCTTAGAGTTAGACAGTCGATAAAGTCATTTGAAAACTTAAAACACACAGACGAAGATTGACACCAGTTTATGTTTACAAACGTAGCTACACCGCCACCACACCTTTTTTTATTGTTCGATCGATCCTGACGATAAATTTTGAAATCATGTAGTGATACAAGGCAGTCATCGTGTAAATCATCCAACCAAGATTCTTGAATTGTGATGACACCACAATTACGATACGTATTTTGACTAAGCAGGAATTGCAGATAGTCCACTTTGTTGATTAATGATCGGCAGTTAGAATTAAGAAGCTCGGGAATCGACATACGATTAATGTTCATTCTCTTTAACGCATATTGCCAACCACCACGATGCCTTTTATAGTACTTTTTCTTAACTTGTGCAGCGAAAGGTCGTAGGCTTTTCATAAAAGCGCCTGAATAGGTTATGCGATTAATGGACATAATTATAAATTAAAACAAATAAAAACTGATAACTTGTTGAAATAATCAGATGGCAGAAACAGGTAGCCCAGATATTCAAGCAGGCCGCCTATAATGTTAGTCGTGAACAGAAGGTCTGGCAGCTGAGACAAGAGGATCGAACAGTGAAGAATGGAAACAGGATGCGATTTGTATGAAAATGCAAGAACAATGAAGTCTGAGTCATTTTGAGACAATTAATGGACATTTTGCAAATTAAGTATTTACTTTATAATTGTTAGATTTTATTAACAAGTCCTATAATTTTGTGTTAGATACATTCGATTGTCCCCACCCGTGTTTTGTTCACTACAACATCTATAAAGTTGTATTTTATTTTCGTTTCTTTGTAAATATGTATTTTTGAAGTTAAAGCTTCTTTTTAAATACAAAACAACTTAGTGAAATCAATGGTTAGAAATAATTTTGTTCTCACGGTATACAACCATCTTTTTACATTTTAGATAAATGGAAATCACTTAACTATTTCCAAAAATTAGTCTGAGAATATCAAATTTCTAGTTTTAATATTATCTTATAGTAGTTAGGTTTTATTTGATAATTTATTTCCTAATCTTTATTCTCTTGTGTTGTTTATGAGGAGTTTAATAATTGGTGGATTTTATGGTAGTATATATCATTAGAAACGTATCAAAAAAGTGCATTCATTTAGTGAATGACATTCACTTGACAGCTGTTTATTGCATCAACATCCATAGCAACCTGCTATTTAAAATAACTGTTTCAGCTAGTATACAACCAACGTCAGGGAAATCTTGCTCATTACCATCTTGTGGCGAGGATGTTGTTCACGAAATGGAAAGGATAAAATGCAAATGTCCAGTGTTTTAGCCGGGTTGATGGATATGGAGGATCCACTTAGTGGAATTGAAAAATCTCAATTCCAAGTCAATAATGCATATGGGCTCTAGGATTCTGAGGGAACAAATGATATGTGAACCTATTATTGATCACCGAATACCATGGGACTGCATCTCCTTACGTTTCTCTACTGCCTTATGAATTAGACCTCTAGACCAAAAGATTGGGGAATTGTTCACTTAAAAAAAACTACCCACTTCTGCTCCCGAACAATATTCTAACCCACACACAAACCAAATGATGAAGTATGTCGTATATTATATTTGGTGCTTCTTTGTACCAATGTTTATGATAATTAAATAAATAAATATCATCCCGTCATATCAAGTAGAATATCTGTTTTTCATTTAAGGATGACAAAAATTATAAACACTGATCTTCACAAATAAATAAATAAATAAATAGGTGATTTAAAGAAGCTGTTCCTAATCGAATTGCCAATAAAGTTTATCTTTAGTTACCAATCGACATTTTGTCCACTAACTAGTATATACATGTATGTATATACCAGTCATATTGCATATTCCTTAAAAAAATTAATTATAGTTTTTATTAAATATAAACTATAAAACTGCTTTATTTATGATAAGTTGTCGTGTGACTTTAATAAATTACCTAATTTCAACAAACTATACTTCATATATAGTTATTAAGTAGTGAACAAGAAGATGAGTGGGGATAATCGAATGTATTAGACACAAAATTATAGAACATCTCAATAAAATCTGAGAACCATATAGTAAATCCTTAATTTACGAAATATCAATCCATCATCTCAAACTTCATTGTTCCTTTTGCAAATATCAATCCATTGTCTCAGATTTCATTGTTCAGGCCTTTTCATATCAATTGCGTTCTGTTTTCTTTCTTTCTTTATCGATCTTCTACTGAAATACATTCCATGCCTGACCACCGTTATATACTACTGATATGAATATAAGTAACCCACACTACAACTACAGTATCCAATTGTGGTTGATATGAAATTATTCTCTTTATTAATAATAATAATAATATCGATATTAATATTAATAGTAACCACAACAAACTTCAATAATTATCAAACTATATTAAATAAAAGTAATTACTTTAAATAGTCGTTTTATATATCCTGTCTTACAGATTTACATTGAATATAATATGAAAAAAATTTTCTAAATTAAAACATTGATAAACATAAAACTATATTCGTTGATATTTATATGTGGTAATAACACTTGAGAGCATGTAATTAACCTAGGGATCAACGATTTATCATATTGACCTTATACAATCCTATTTTATAAATGAATTAATTCATGTTAGCATAATAAAGACCTTTTTTTAAAATCATTATCTATGTGTATAAGTTTGATTTCCTGTATTGTACTGACATAAGTTTATTTCACAATTGATTGACCACTGGGTGGCGATCGATGTCATGCGTGCCTATTCCTTATTAATGCAGATCGAATGCTATCGATCATGTTGCAATATGGCCACCAGTCTAGGTGACTCGACAATGCGGGCACTATATATTGAGATTAGATGGTGGTTGGAGGTAGTCGACAGGCAACCCTGGACCCGGGTTTCGTGCCACTTGGCACTCGTCAGCAAGGTGTACCTGTAATCTTGAGGGAACTGGTGCATTGCAACATGATCGATAGCATTCGATCTGCACTAATAAGGACTAGACACGCATGACATTGATCACCACCCAGTGATCAATCAATTGTGATTACATCTCAGTCCTACAGGAGGTCGGTTGCGGCTCGGATAGCTCAGTGGTAACGTCTCTGACTGTGAAGCTGGGTGACACGAGATCGAGTCGGCCAGGGAGCACCAGTTCCCTCAAGACTACATATGCACCTTGCTGACGAGTGCCAAGTGGCACGAAACCCGGGTCCAAAGTTTCCTGTCGACTACCTCCAACCACCATCTAATCTCAATAAGTTTATTTATTTGATAATATTATAGTTAAATTCATTTAACCTTTCAATTATTTATTTGGTATAAAATTATTTATTTATTTATTTGTTCACTATATTTTAGTCTGTTGTTAGGTATATTAATTTCATGGTGAAATATTTTTTTTTAGATTATTGATCAGAGTGGGGTTTGTGGAGATTGTAGTAATTTTAATAGTTGGATATATATTGTTGAGGAGTCACATAGTGGGACGAAACGACCGTCCTGTGCTTTCAGGTTTTCTATGATGATCTAGCTTAAATTGACTCATGAATTCAACTATTAAAAAAATAATAATTACTAAGGAGTGATCAATACATTTTAATTTTAATTTATTAAAATATCTTGCAGCTAGATTGAATATCAAATTATTATCATTCAGAATTGTTTTGTAAGACTGAATTTCTTGAACATTGTTGAGTTGACTTTTGTCAGTTAGCGTAAGTCTTCGCCACGTGGGTAGGAATGGTAGGTGCTTTGAGTGCGTTGAGGATGGACATTATATAAGAGATTGCACCAGGGAACAGATAAACAGAATGTTTACACAGTAGGTATACTGAATCTTGAGTCATTTATTTGTATGGTTTTTGCGTGTTCTGCAATCCAAGTTGATCCTAGACTGTCTTCTACTGCTTCTCTTCTATCTTCTAACATATTCTGCATACGCCGCGTTTTTTGACCTACTGGGATTCTTCTCTTTGAGAATCGACTGTAGTAACTTCTACGCGACATTCCTGTATATACTAATTATAAGCAATCTTATGAACAGTATTCATTACACTAATGCCAGATCACTGAATTCTTATTTCAGTGTATCATGTTTTACATCATATAGTTAGAGACTATTCAAACAGATATCCGATTTGTTTTGTAAATCTGAAGAAACTAATTGTAACTTCAATATCTTACTAATTGCCTTTATATATGCTAAGTGAATATGGTATTGCATCATGAGTTTGTAAAAAAAATGTTACGAATTGACCCAAGCTGAAGTTCACGCCGAATATTTTAAAACATAAAATTATATGGACCTTCGTGTAATTATGAAGAATGTGATCAATGTGTAATATTATTTGTGAGTTTCCGTATAGGTTACAACAACCATTCAATGCTCTCTTTGACTTATCACTAATTTTATCTGTCAATATAAGGGGAAGCCCTTTGAATTATATTCAAATGTTTGTAACTCAATCTAAATCATATCTTTTTATACTGATATTGTTAGCTAAACATTTCTAGAGCAAATGCATTCAATAAAAAGAATAAATAGTTTAAGGTGTGTCTAATTGGCAAAAATTTCACCGCTCAGCTGATACTTACCTCTCGATATATATATGAGGGACTATGTTTTTACCATTGTAAACTATGTATTTTTCTAGTGTTGATGAAGATTTACTTGTCGAGTCTTTTTTGCCTACCCATTTTTTCCTGTTGAGTTTTAACAATTCATTTACACTTGTTATAGTTCATATCAGGTTGTCTAATAATTTCTTTAGAAGTTTCCTTTTGAAAAAAAAGAATTTATACACATATAGGTAAATTGATAGGATTTAAAACAACAGACTCCACTAAACATTACGAGTAGTTAGCAAATAACAATTGTTCCTCTCATAGTGACTTATATCTCACTAAGTCCAAAGGATATTAGGAGATATCTATAACTATAAACACTAGATGATTGACAAAAATACAGCCCTATAAAAACACTTAGTCATTCACTAATTACTTAGTTATGAGCCACACCATAACTTTGAAGGGTAATAATACTACTAGGTTGCCTAAACTGAAGTAGCTCAGGTGAGACTTAAACCTGGATTTTAGTGACTGAAATTTAACATACAATATATATAGAAATACCAATCCTGTCTCCCATAAACCAACTCTGTTGACCTCTATCTTAATCGCTTCCTGACAATATTAATTCAATGTGTCCTTATAAATAATTGTTTTCATATCAGATTAATTAGGGTTATTATTATTTTTTTAGGCGGCTTTATGTCGATTACACGGTCTCTCTATATATTCATATATTTGGATGATGAATACATTATTATGGAGTGATTTATTCAAGAGAAAATCCATTCTAAAAACATCTCGTATACTTGTATTAAAGAAACATGCATATTTCTTATATGTTGAAGATCAATGTATGCAAAAAGATAAGTTATTCAATGATAATTCCTTATCGATTTTACAAAATTCTGAATTGAAACAAGTAAGTATTTAAAATATATTATTATTTCTTCTAGTAAAGTAAACAAATATATATAATCAGAATGGGTTTTGTGGAGATTATAGAAATTCCACTGGTTGAAATCATGAGTCAATTGGAGCTAGACCACTATGGAAAACGTGGAAGCACTGGACGACCGTTTCGTCCTAGTATGGGGCTCCTCAGCAGTGCGCATCCACGATTCCTCCCCCCCACGAGATTAGAACCCAGGACCTATCAGTCTCGCGCCAAGCGCTTAACCAACTAGACCACTGAGCCGGTCTAGCTTCAATTAACTCATGATTTCAACCAGTGAAATATACATAACTAGGCAAATTTACTATTGGTTATTGTAAATGGATAACAATTATTAGATACAATTGCACAATTTTATAGTTTAATATTCTACTTTAATTGATCATTAAAACAAAATTGATACTTGAAGTATTAAAAGAATAATTTTTCATATTAGTTCATATCAATCTAAATCACTTTAAACAACAATCGTTTTTATTAACTGTCTCTTAGTTCTTTATAAACGTATACAAAAATGCTCGGATCTTGTAAAAAAATACACCCCCTCATACATTAAGCTTTTAATTTGGAAAATTAATCTTTAAAAAGTAGACTGATTTTTCATTGTGTCGATAAATGTCTATCAACATTGATATCTTGAAGAAAAAAAACAGAATACAAACTTTTCAAGTTTCGGTGTTGAAGATTGTAGGCAAAGATGGATAATGGCTAACAGTGGAATCCAGGACGCGCGTTTCGTCCCATTTAGGTTTCATTAGCTGGATCTGAACATCAACTCTGGGATGCAAGTACATCCAGCTGACGAGTCCCAAATGGGACAAAACGCGCGTACTGGATTCTATTGCTCGCCACTATCCATATTTGTTTAAAATGCTTGTGACTTAAGGCTTTATCGAGGCAATCCACACAGGATTCACATATGCCAACATGAGACTGATCAATTGCAGTCTTAAATAACAATGAGAAGATACAAGTAAAACAATGCCTAGTGAATTTTAAGATTGTACTTTGTAAATTTTTAGTTAGGAATGAATTTTGTTAAAAAAACACGCTAATTTATTTTTTATGTTAGTTTTCTGTTGTGAATAATTTTTTGAAACATTTCTTAATCGTTTTTTTTAAGTACTACTTATTTTTACTTATTATTGGCTTTATTCACTATTATAATTTTTTGTATAATATAGAATTCTCAGCACGAAGTATTTCAGCGAGTTTCCATTTAGTATTTCTTGATCGATATTTTCGATAAATATTGAGTGATCGATAGTTAGATATCAGCATTTCAGAAGTCGACATCTGAAGAATGTTTATTCTTTTCAATGGATATTCTCAGACATCAGGATGTCTCTGATTGTACGTTTCTGTAACTTGTACAGCGAAAGGTCGTAAACATTTCATAAATGCACCTGAATAAGTTATGCAATCAATTGACATAATGATCTGTTAAAACAAATAAGGAAACAGATAACTTGTTGAAATATCTGGATGACAGGAACAGGTAGCCCAGATATTCAAACAGATTGCTTTGCAATTTTCGGTGTTAGTTACATTTTCCTTAATTAATTTTATTTCATGAGTTGGATGATTCTGAATGAATGTTTTTATTCTGTTATTTAAACACATAAACATTGATAGAAAAAAGCACGCAGTATATATGTGCCACACTTCATCATTCGATTAGTTTGTGAGCTGGGATACTGCTTGGGAGCCGAAAACGAAATAGTTGGTTTTTTAGGCCACATTTGGGTCCTTTGACCTAGAGGTCTAGTCTATAAGGCAGTGGAGAAACGTTAGGAGATACAGTCCCATGGTAGCCGGTGATCAATATTAGGTTCACATACCATTTGTTCCCTCAGGATACTGGAGCCCATGTGCACCATTGATTTGGAATCAGGGTTTTCAGACTCCCGTTCATAGATCCTTCATACTCACCAACCCGGCTAAAACACTGGACATTCGCATTTTATCCTTTTAATTTCGTAAGCAATACCCTCGTAGCGAGAAGGAAGTAAGTGAATTAATGTATTATACTACTTCTGACTTATTATTTAGTTGTACTCTTATAAATTCTCACCACGACTTGAATTTAAGACTCGAATCCAATGGATTACTAACTTATGCTTTGTATGCAATAGTTATTCATTGTTTGTAGTACTTATGTACTTGAGTTTACTGACTCATAGACAAATGGTTTAATCGTTTTGTTCTATTTTTAACGACATCAAACTTTTTATCTTAGGTGTGTAACACGTTTGGTTAGAAAATCACACTTCGATATCATTAATAAACTGGAGAAACATTTATTTTGCCAATAATCCCATTATGATCCTCTAATTATGGCTCTTGGTATCTTTATGGTTACGCCATAGGATTGGAGTGCATTGTTCAGGCTGTAAAGAGCCTTGATAATGTCTGATTCTCTTGGAAATTAATGTAAAATTATTCTCTTAAAGGGTCTATTTATGATTGTGATTTGACGTTTTTTTGTGTTGATCTTTGTTTTTATTAGCTTTGTTTACTACGAGGAATTAATCCGTACTTATTAAATCATAAAGATTTGGAGGAAAAATTACAGTATTGGATTTCAGCATCAACCGTTGCTTCAGGTAATAACAGTAACTGACTCCTTAATGTTTGTCAAATTGATATTATATAAGTATGATTAGTAGAGTGGTTTTTATGCCACAATGTTTGTATGGTGTGTTAAATATGTTCAATTTACTTACGGAATAGTCAGCGAAACAATGTTACCTCCGCGTGACTATCGTAACCAATGACTAGAAACTCTTGGTGATATGGCTCACAATTGATCACAATGGCATTGGTGTATACACTCTTTGTCTTCCCTTAAACCGTGAGATTAAAATTGTTTTATACTTTTATATGAAGTAATTTTTTCTTCCTGTATTATATCCTTATACGCAATCGTTCTTTTATATATTACTACCATTGGATTAACTACTTCTATAAATTTGATGTTCATCTTGTTGTGCTAATGAGGTGTTGCAACTTGGACCGATGCATATATGTGCCTGGTCCTACGTTGTAGCTGACTGATTGACCTCATCTCCAGTGCTAATGGAATTGTAGTGTCGTTATTAGTCTGAGTGATTTCGTTTTCTCACTTCAAACTTTATGATCTAATCCAGATGTTTTTCAATCCCACTTTTAATCTCTTTGGTTTATTCCTTTTGTTATGCTGATGTTACTGTAAATTCGCGTAATCACGGAAAATGGTTCTTGAATTAGGGAACAACAGAGGTTTGCACCATGTTATGAAGCAATTGAAGATGGATGTCGGATGAAAATTTTATTCACCCTTCAAATACCTGACGATAAATACTTACTAACCAAATATTTTTACTTATGTACAGATTTTACTGGAGATTAGATCAACAAATGTCATACATGACTGAAATAGTTTTAATATAAATGAATCTTTCATCTTGAACTATACAAATTGAACACTAAATATCACATTGGACTAATATCATGCTAAACTTATACAAGAAATATTGTATTGAAGAAATTTATGTTAACAATGGTATTACCTGTAAACATGTCTTTTTTATGTATCAACAAATCGTTTTAATTATATTCTGAAAACAATTACAGAATGCACACCACTTTAAAGACATATTGATGAAAATAGGAATGTAACATGTAGAAAATGGCAAAAGATTTCAAAAGATATGATTGATGCATAGTTTGGGTTAAACATTTTTGCACAAAGACCTTATTCACATGAAGTATGTTATCCAAGTTAAATATTTAATTATAGGTTGTAACATTTTATAGCACAGCATTTTTATCACAACGAAACACTGTAATAGTCATCCGTCTTGTGAAAACAGTTATCTCTAGTATGCAATATAACAAGAATATAAGCACACTATGATATTGGTAGCTACAAAATCATGGACATTTTGGAATGATAAATGTTTCATAGTATGCAGTTGTTGAGATCCAATATTTTCTCAATAGACGGACTGTTACTTCATGCTTCAAAGTGAAACTTACTGCAAAAGGGAATTTCTATCCCGTTACAGGGTAATTATGTTCAAATACAACTATAGAAAAAAATAACACAGATCAAGAAACAAAAAAATTTACTGTGATAGGTATATCACAATATATTTAGACGATTGTTTCATGGTCTACTTGTTTAAATTTTATTTAAACTAATAAACTGTGTACTGTTGAAACGGCGGCTAACCAATATGTTGAGGCTAATGTCCTCAATATCTGACTCCAATAAACAATATCTCGTTAACTAAGTATTTAATGCAGGCTAAATCTCCTGGTAGAATTATGGATTTTACGCGAGATTATTCAAAAGCCTGAACACCCGTTGTAGAGATAATTTATTGTTAATGATTAATGAAAATCCAGAAGTGTACAGCAAGCAAGCACATGGTGAAGCCAAGTGGAAATGATGCGCAGTGGAGATGGCCGGGAAGCCAACTCATTTTTAGTCAGGCGTTAATCAATATTTATAGGCAGACAAAATAAGCTACAGACATGGGATAAGAAGTGTATACACATATACGCTCATATAAAAACAATGAAGACTGGTAAGCGAATAACTAACATGGTCAACATATGACTCAAGTAGAATGAATAGATGGGCCTGTCCGAAATCCAGAATAAGATATATGGGCTTAAAATAATAACTGACACTACAGTACATTCTTACAGTGACAAATAGAATAAGGTTTGAGATTAATCAGGAATAGTGTAGACATCAAGAGATATAATGTCTCTATGATGCAAAATTTAATGATTGTTCTCAATACTGACAGTGAGCAAACATTTAAAGTTCCTAGTGGAATGATATATAATCGTTTTTGTTAGGATTTCCAAAGAAGTATTTGATATGACCCATATATTTTTTATACAAACGATGGTAGTGAGTTTCATTTTCATGAATAGATTGTGGCAAGTTTTCTTTCTTCAGGTACTTGAGAAACTACTCGTAAAGTAATTCAGTGTGATTTCTATATAGTAAACTAATATTATTAAGTGAACTTTTTGTTTTAAGTAGTAGATTTCCAGTTAAGTAATAATAATACTTTTGTATTTGGAAATTTTGTTCTTTTTAATTAACATTTGAATTCATTAATTGTAAATAAGTGTAAATAAATTAATTTGTTTCTATGTTAATGCATACTACTAGTATGATTATGTTAAAAATTTTAATTTTTAGTTCTAATTAACTGGAATCAATAACTTTTTGACTTCTTGTTCATCCATTTAGTCTCTAACTAATAAAATCCGACTGACAATTAAATTTTAATTGTTGAATATTATTACATGGTTTACAGCACGGACTAATTTTAGTCAAACAACCTTTGAAACCAAGAAGTACTGGATATCTGTTTCATTCTTGTATGAAACTTCTTAACACTGCAAATCTACGACTCCTCTGCTGATTGAATTCAAAACTTTCATAATGAACTCCTAACTGTTGAATTGAGGAGCTGACACGTATAATTTTAACCAATTCTTGACTGATTTTGAGAGTTAATCCTCAGAATTCTAATGACCAGTAAGGTTTAGCTATACTGAATACGAGGCAGTTACCCATCAATCGGGTGACTGCGCATTATTGTGAACTGATTGAAGTTAGATATGTAATCTATTAGATGCCGGGTCAGTGGTCTACAGTTCTATTGCTCGCTACTTGGAAGTCTTAAATGAGACCCTCTCGGAGCAAGGGAGTGGATGAGCACTGTTTCGAAGTTTCAAACAAGAAAGTAACAGTTGTTCAGTCCTTCCTGGTTTTTAGTGGTTGTTTAACTAAGATCGATCAATAATAGTAACCGTAAAACTCATCAATCTCTTCTAACTTATAGTGAATATCATTGGCAAACTAACGTTTGAGAGTTAGGAACATTAAATTTATTTTCATTATCTCATTAGAATTAGTCGTCCATCATTATTGTCAATGTTTATTTTTCCTAACTATTAAGTTGCAGTTTTTTGTGTGGTGTTTTTACTTGGCAAATTTATCTGGGAAAGGTGCTTAATACTAGTATACCTGCACCCTAAATGTCTGTTGCCTCAATCTATTATAAATGATGAAGGAACTGATGAGAAAAGTAACATGAATATAAATTCTCAGCTTGATTTCGCATATCTTACGTAAACTAACATCGTTTGGTTGACAGAGACAATATAAAACCAAATACAAATGAAGTTGAAAGAATTGATTACCAACATTCTTTTATGCAAACAGACAATGAGTGATGCAAAGTCATAAGAGATGATAGTAAATATATCTACTCAAAAACATAACTCAACACTTATATGTATAATAGATACGTGTATACATGTGAACACATATATACATTTGTCCAAAAGTTAGGATCATCCTTTTAGGCTTAGAACAATACAACTTTACATGAAAATGTTTTTAAAAAAAACTCATTTTGGCAATATGTAACTTTAATTACACTAATAATCATGCATGTTAAATAATTTTCACTATTTTATTTTTAACTAAATTATGCATTTATTTATTCCTTGACTTTTTCTTTCTTCTTTTGTATAGAAACGGATTTCAGTTTTCGTTTACATCTTCCCTTATTATTGTGTTCCAATAATATTGATATTAATAATAATAATAGTATTGATAAATATTAATTCACAGTTGGCATACTAAACAGATCAATTGTAGATCTTTTTATATTTTTATATGACTTATTATTATTAATAAAGTCATATTATACCTATTGTGCTGTTAATCTTGTGTAACTCTCTTTCAGTATATATATATATATATATATATATATATATATATATATATATATATACTAACGCCTGTTACTCCCAATGGAGCATAGGCCACCGACCAGCATTTTCCAACCCAATCTATCCTGGGACTTCCTTTCCAGTTCGATCCAATTTTTGTTCATTTTTCTCATGTCTATCTCCATTTCCCGGAGTAATGTGTTTTTTGGTCTTCCTCTTTTCCTTTGATCTTGAGGATTCCATGTGAGGGCTTGTCTTGTGACGCAGTTCGGTGCTTTCCTCAATGTGTGTCCTATCCACTTCTAGCGCTTCTTCCTGATTTCTTCCTCCTTTGGGATCTGATTTGTTCTCTAACACAGTTGGTTGTTTCTGATAGTGTCTGGCCAACGGATCCGAAGTATTTTGCGTAGACAACTGTTAATAAACACCTGTATTTTCCGGACGATGACTATCGTAGTTCCCCAGGTTTCCGCCCCATACAGTAGAACTGTCTTGACATTTGTATTGAAAATCCCGACCTTGGTGTTGGTTGACAGTTGCTTAGAGTCCGAGATGTTCTTCAGTTGTGAAGATGCTACTCTTGCTTTTCCGATCCACGCCTTCACATCTGCATCAGATCCACCATGTTCATATATATATATATATATATATATATATATATATATATATATATATATATATATATATATATCAGTGTGTTTGAATAACAATTGAAAAAGTAATACCTAGTGCTCGTAACGAGTGAACATTTCAGTTTATCTTCTCATTGTATAGTATTTGTTGTCTGAAGTTTGAATTCGACTGATTAAATAACGAAAACTTAAGCCTAACTTTCTTCATTATTAGTAAAGATAGTTTGAAACATTTATGAAATGTATACCTTCTGGTATCAGTTTTCATTCTATGTTCTCATGTTATTAATTTCTTTCTTATATATAGACATCAATTGTGGCAAATTCGTGTCAGACGCGAGGTACTATATTGTTAATGTTTGAGCTGAGGAGATTTGTTGTTATGTAGTGGATGCTGTTATGTTCTAAATGGACTTGTTTATTATCCTGTGATTAGATTGTCAATTACAATACCGGCTTATATGTCCTTTTAATTGTACCAAACCAACGACACGTTGACCAGTATGAACAGGGTAGAGTGAATTTCTGACTCCTTATTCGTCCTTCTTGCCTTGCCCTGCCCGCTGAGTTCAGAACACAAATCTCAGCTTCCTCTGTGTGAATCATATATTTCAGACGTACGCCATTTATATACAAGCAAGTCAGGCCGCATCATACTATAAAATAGGAAATAACAACTATACAAGATCAAGTGAAAATTGGCTGTCAGTATGAGATAGATTGAGGGTAACTTATGATTAGTAAATCGAATAATAATAGCCAATAGGTCAAATAAAATCTTATATTAAGAGAAATATAAATATATATAATCTAGTTACCTAGTAGTTTTACAATAAGAATATACATATAATAGTTCCTACAAAGTGCCCATAATTTAATATTTTTCGGATACAACAGACACTACTCACAACATTGCTTGTAAGTAGTATGTTGTGAAATGTGACCTTGAAGTTGTTGGAAAGAATGAACAGTTTCGGCACGGCGTTGACAGAATATTTGGACACCAAATGTTTAAATTGTTCAGATTGCAGAACACACCAAAACATACAAATGGATGATTGAAGGCTTTGTATATATGTATTTTGTAAACCCATTGTAACTTCTCAATATAAACATAGATCCCATCTGACTATTGTCTTCTTTCACGTTTCATGTCGTTGTGTAAAACTTGTACTTGGAAAAGGAGAAACAGTGATTAACATGACACCAAAATAAAAAGACAAAATCTGACAAGTGACCTTTCAAAAATACGATTTTAAGCAAACGTACTCATTTATACATCAATTTTACTGACATTAAATGATTAATTACCGAATTTCACAACTAACGGTAAATACCAAAATGAAATTGACATTGAATTAATACATAGAATATTATACTGAAAAAATGTCATATTTAAATAAAGTTTTATGTTAACCAATATATTACCCTTCAAACAAAACTAATATTCAACTGGACAAATATCATACTGAGTCGAACCATGATCTCGTGATTTGGATTGCATCCTAACATTTATTCTTTAACTGAGATTCGGTTACCACATATTTCGAAAGGAAAATCATCACTAGCATACTTAATCAAAGTTGTTCTTTTTTCAAAATTTGACCGATATCAGCTTGAAAAGTTCAATTTTTTGTTACCAATTAACTGCAGTCCATGTAGTGTAGTGAACAAGAACACGAGTGGGGGACAATCGACTGTATTTGAGCATAAAATTACAGAGCATCTCATTAAAATCTAAGAATCATATAGTAAATGCTTAATTTGCAAAATGTCCATCAATTGTCTCAAGATGACTCAGACTTCATTGTTCTTGAATTTTCATACGAATTGCATCCTGTTTCCATTCTTTACTGTTTGATCCTCTTGTCTCTCTGCTGCCAGACATTTTGTTCCTGACTGACGTCATATACTACTTACGTCGATATATGCAGCACACACCAAAGTAGTATGCTCGGTTATTGACAAACGAATCTGTCATCACATGAATATTTCTTACCGACAAGGTTTTTTATTGAAGAAGTCAATTATTCATAATTCTATAGTCGCATAAGATGTATAATGTCAATTTCTAATCTGACATCACTTATATTATTTAGTTCAAATGACATAATATTTGGTTGTTAACTTCTCAAGCGTAACCATTATTAAGGAATATACTATCATATTTGTACAATTTTGAAATTCTCAAAAATTATTATCGAGAAGGACCTAACACACATGACACTGATCACTACCCAGTGGTCAATCATTTGTAAATACATCTTATTCCTACAGGAATTCACTCACGATCCTGATAGCTCAGTGGTAACGTCTCTGACTGTGATACTGTGTGACACGGAATCGAATCCGCCAGGTAGTACCAGTCCTATCAAGACTACTGGTACAACTTGCTGACGAGTGTCAACACTAAACCTAGGCCAAGCAGATCTTCCTATCGACCATCTCCAACTGAAAACTTACATTACCAAGATATAGTAGTATACCATCCTTCCATTATCCCACAACTCAGAATGTACATATTTGTACTATCACTATAACATCAAACAGAACTTGTAATTGTTTATCAATCATTAAAATTCTTTATAATGATTATTAAAATTGACTGTCTTCACGAACAATCGATACAGTCCTTTTTAAAATGAAAATATTGCTTAGTAAGTTACCAAGTAAATAGTTTATATTATCCTTAAACCTAATGCTTGAAATAAAACAGTTCATTTTATAGCTAACATTATTAGCACTATAGAATTGTTTGTCTCATTATATACATATGTATCTGTTATTTGAATGACTTCTAAAACAAAGTGTTATAAATCTCGTTTACTTTCTCTAACGATTGATTTCTGATTTCTTTGTGGGATATACATCTTTTCATGTGCATATATATAAATATATGCCTATCTTTCATATTCATTTCCTTTCATACTTTTTCTATGAAATAATCATCTGTAGTTGTTTATGTTGATGTAAAACACCTGGTATTGTTTTCCTATGAGACACTTTATTCCTTTGTTTATATATATACAAAATCTTTTCTTTTTTCATTCTATCACAGCACTTTCTAATTTCCTGATATGTAAGGAAAATCACTAACTGCTTTTCAAATGACATTTCATTTACGTGTACTTATCAACTGTCCATCTCAATAAGTAATATTACTCATTGTTGGCATAGGCTAAAAGAAAGCTATAGGGTATCGAGTCGAAACATTGCATCAGTTCATGAAGTCATGGACAGTTGAATGGAACCAAGTAGATTTAAGCGAGAATTATCAGATTACATTTTGCGCGAATATTTTAACGAATGGTTTGAAACTTTAGCTGATATAAATCATTTACTGCTACACTGGTAAATCTACTTCTTATCTTCTCTTAGTTCCAGAATCATAAATTCGGCGAGACTATAATTTATGGATGAACTAATCAGGTATAAGATAACAGGTCTCGGATTTTGGCACGACATTCATTCATTTATTTGGTTAAATAGCGTTTTGGCATTATAGTTGATGTCAATTCGTGATGAAAACCCTAAATCTAATTCCTAATCTTAACCATCAGATTTAAATCATAATCCTTATTCATTAAACTGTTTTATAATCCTCATTTTTTTCTAATTATAAGGTGGGTACTCTCAAGGTAACTCTAGCATCGTTCAAAGGTTGTCCATAAATTATAGTCTCCCTATGAAATCTTAAACTTTTCGATGTTTTTCTTTTTGACATATAATTTTTTTTCTAATACTGTTCTTGGTATTTATTTCGATCATTTTGTTTTACTGTACTAATGTACTGTAGCAACATGAGATGACGTAAATATGTTTTAAATTTTATTATGCATATGACCAAGTAGCTTTTTCAGGAGTCCGAACAAAATAAATCTGTATTTTAATATGAATATTCAATGTTGTTTTTTTTTTAAAAATCACACTCCTTTTTTTAGGCTTTTGCTTTATTATATCATAAATTATTATAATAAATATTTTTACAAGATAATAAACCAAGGGAGTTAGTGACAATAATGATGTGAACTACACAATAATTTATAGTTTAGAAAAATAATAATTTAATAATTTACACTGTCCTGTTTTTGATATTTAAACTGAAATTTGTTCAGTCTTGGTTAGATACTGTAGGATGCAAGTAAATTTAGCTGACAAATCTTAGATAAGATGCAACACATGTTCTAGATTTCATTACGAATCGCATTCAATTTTATGTTAAAACAGTAGAGTATAATAACATGTGTATTAGTATTCGTTGACCAGACACTATCAGAAACAACCAACTGTGTGAAAGAACAAGTCAGATCCCAAAGGAGGAAGAAGCGATGGAAGTTGATAGGACACACATTGAGGAAAGCACCTAACTGCGTCACAAGACAAGCCCTCACATGGAATCCTCAAGATCAAAGGAAAAGAGGAAGACCAAAGAACACATTACTCCGGGAAATGGAGATAGACATGAGAAAAATGAACAAGAATTGGATCGAACTAGAAGAGAAGGTCCAGGACAGAGTGGGTTAGAAAATGCTGGTCGGTGGCCTATGCTCCATTGGGAGTAACGGGCGAAAGTAAGTATTAGTATTCACAAAAGATAATGAAGATAACTGACAACAATAACAACGAATGAAATATACTGAACGGTAGAAACAAACAACCATTAATGTGTCTGTCCCTTAATATTTTTTATTATATTGAGCTGTGAGAATATTGCTAAGTTCCATTTAACATGCGTTTATAAAAAGTCTCTATCTTAAAAATTTTCACTCATTTATATTCCAAAAGAGAGGGGAAGGTGGCTGATGCAAAGACAGAATAAACTGTTCAGAGTGGCTAATCAAATAATATAACAGTATGAATGCAGACTGACCGGTTGCAGTCCTAAACAACATTCGGAAGATACGAGCAAAAAACGTCAAGTGAATTTCGAAAATACAGTAATTTTTATCTCACTAGCTAACCGCTAATAGTGTTGAGATCAAATATAATCAATTTCTGTTATTTAGAATACATGAAAAAATCATATATTTCAAAATAAGTCGATTGAAGTTACACATTTACACCGCTGAATGGCGGCTCAGGGGTCTACACGTCAAGCTTTCACGCGCGAGACTGGAGGTCTTGAGTTCGAGTCTCACGTGCAGAATTGTGGATGCGTACTGCTGAGGAGTCTCGCACTAGGACGAAACAGTCATCCAATGATTTTACGTTTTCAATGATGGTCGCAAACGAATATTTAGTTAACCAACCAACTGCAAAACGTCTTCTTACTACTGACTCATCTTTTTCAATATAAAATCCATCTTTTTTTAAAACTGATATAACATTTTCAATGGTCGTGTTTGTCCTTCTATCCACTCAGTGCGAAAAAAGTCTCCTTATTTTATAGAAACATTGATGTACATTGTTTATAAATCAGTATTAATTTTGTTTACATTCATAGTTTAACTGAATTACTAAACAATTGAATAATAATAATAAACTGAATAGATTAAATCGAAATTTTATAATATAAATAACTGTATTCTTGCTTTCTCTTCTTTAACGGGTAATATTAAGTTAATCATATGCAATTCATTTCTATTTCGGTTGTTAACTTAAATTATTGATCATCGTTTGGAACAATAAGTTTATCATTCATCATGGATCAATAAATATTTAGTGGAAACAATAGAAAGTTTGGATGTGATCAATAGTTGTTTATTTTTAGTTAAAATATTCATTTAATCTGTTTTCTTTCCCTTTATCTTATGTATCTTCCAGTTATAATGTATTCGATTTTAGTGCTTTCTTCTATGCATATAATAAGATGAAGTTTTCCGATTGGCTGATCGATTGTTTTTCAACCTTTCTGAATTGATTACATCTATAAGTTTTGTTTAAATGTTGATAATGTTGTTGGACATATATTTGAATATCGATTTATCTATTAGTGGCTAGTTACAAAGCTTGGGCTATTTACAAATATTACATATTTATATGTAGTTGTCTACGCAAGATACTCAATATCCGTTTGCTGTATATTATCAACAACAACCCACTGTGATAGAGAACAAACCAATTTCCAAGTGAAAAAGAAATTAAGAAAAGATGTTGGAAGTGGATAGAACGAACATTACAGAAATCACCAAACTGCATCACGAGGCAATGCCTAACTCGGAATCTTGAGGGTTACTGGAGGAGAGGATGTTCATAGAACACATTGCATCGGTAATTGGAGGTAGATATCAAACAAATGATTAGCACTTGGAAACAACTTGAAACGGGAGTTAAAAGCAGTGTTTTTTGATAAATGATGGTCGGCATCCTATTTTCAATGACAACCATATATATACTTGTAAAATATAACTTCTGAATAATTACAGTTTAAATGTATAATGAAGAGAAATTTATTACAGTATTACACAAGGATATCGATAAGTGCCTAACTTTAAAATGTTCACAGTAATGAACAAAGTTATTATTATAATTAAAAATGTGTTTAATATGACAAGGGCTTCATGAAATATACATTAATTGTGTCATGGTAACCAGTTTCATATAGTTTTCAGCCTTTTTTCAATAGGTAAACATACAACATCTAAACTGAACTAGTAGAAGTGATGAATATTTTGGGTTTCAAAACTGCTTGTTCGTTGTACTCTCAGTCTCCTTTGGGACTAGACTAGTTTTGGAGACAACAGTATTAATCACAATTGATTGCCACCCAGTGATCAATCAATTGTGATTACATCTCAGTCCTACAGGAGGTCGGTCGCGGCTCGGATAGCTCAG